CATACACTGCACTATATATTAATTGTGTATTTTTTATCTCCAGTGCGTTGAACTGGCCAGAGATCGAAGACTGGTGCATTGTATATGGCGTGGAGGCGTTTTTCATCATTCTAGCCAACGCTATTACAGCACTTGTCATCATCTACAACCAGTTTCTGCATAAGAGGTTCTATTATCTCCTATTGAGTTTGGCCATTGCCGATTTTCTTGTGGGTGCAGTACCCTGTCCTATGTTTATCTACGTCCTTTGGGGATACTATTCACCCGAGGGAATACAAAGCAAAATGGATCCTAAAGTAGCCCATGCACAAACTATACTCGAGATATTTACATCCTATGCATCCATCTACGCCTTGGTAGCAATTGCCATAGAAAGGTTTACAGCTGTTGTCTTTCCCTCAAAACACCAGCGAGAAGCATATGTAAGATGAATTCTATCACATTCTCTGCTCATCAGTCTTCTTCTACTTCGCAGTTTTCCTCTTCCTCCTCTTCTTAACCTCCTCCTCCTTAGGTATTCTCCTCCTTTCTCTTCTTATTCTCCACTCCTCTTTAGTCCACCAGGTCTCCCTATACGTCTTCTCGATTTCCCAGTGTTCCTCATCTGCCTCTGCTCTTCTTCTCCTCTTCCTTCCTGTCCTCCTTCCCGTGTCTCCTCCTTCCCGTGTCTCCTCCTTCCCGTGTCTCCTCCTTCCCGTGTCTCCTCCCTCCCGGGTCTCCTCCTTCCCGTGTCTCCTCCCGTCGTCGTCTCCATCTGCTTCTGCAGTATTCTCCTCCTCCTTCTTTGTTTGTTCTCAGTCTCCTTATAGTTGTTCTTCTTCTACTTCGCTTCTACATCATGCTTTTTGTTTGATGCTATGTGCTTCTTTCCTGTCCAATAGATTCACATGATTCAATAATATTACTGTTTTCAGTCATCATACATCAGTGCAATCATTATAACCTGGCTACTGGCTCTACTTACGGCACTCCTTTGGTTAATAAGGTTCATCAAGGACAGGGTTCATTATGACAGGACGTTCTTTGTCATCATGGTGAGTACCTCTCAATAGTCACTGACAGCGTCCTTTTTTCTTACGGTTACCGCTGGTCAAAATGTCTACTGACACGCATCCTTTTTTCTGACGGTTACCGCTGGTCAAAATGTCGACCTTTTGCTCCATATATACAATTACTTACAATGGAAAATAATAAGCCATGAAAGTGGAAGATAATGGAATATTTTATTTTCCTCTTTTTCAGTTTTTTCTATCCATATCGCTCCTCATCGTATTAGTCTGCTATTCCGTTATCGCCTACAAATTGTGCACCACATCAAACGACTCCATCAGTTACAGGATGCAGAGGGAGTTTCGCATTGCTTTAACCTTGCTGGTAGCCAGTGTTCTGTTCATTGCATTATGGCTTCCTTTCCAAGTAGCAAACTACATATTCTTTTTCGACAAATTTACAACAGTAAGCCACCACTTAATCTACTCGTCCAAATTCCTGCATTACCTCAATTCTATGATAAATCCACTTCTCTACGCCCTCATGATGAAGGAGTTCAGGAAAGGTCTTAGAAACATGTTTTGCTGCAGCAACGAAATTGACGAGCCAAAAAGTACTGGTAATGGCAAAGCAATCAGTGGACCAGCTAGCAACCGAGGATACCAGARCGATGACGTCACTATGACGCATGTTTATTGAAAAAGATAGTAGGTGTTGTAAATGCGTCTATGGGCCAGGAAATAGTGAGAAAACAGTAACTGGACTAGCAATAATATAACCTACAAAGTCAACTCTTAGATATATATTATGTTTAATGCACTTTGACAAGAACATTACTTCTTACTGAGGAAAATGTCAAAACGAGGACACCGAATGGAAAAGGCATATCAAATCTAGTTTTAACACGCATTCAAGTTATACTGATCTTCATCTAACACGACAATGTCAGCACAGTTCATATGCCCTGATGAGTGGAATTAAGATATTTACAGCGGGCAATGTAGCTAATCGTAGAATTAAACACAAATGTAGTCAAAAAATACTTATATATTCTTTTGTAAAAAACAATTTAAATATGCCTTGGGCAATTTCACACAACATCATTTGCATATTATATAATCATTTTGGCGATTGAAATGACATTTTGAATATTCCATAATTATTCTTACGCCGTCTTTCATCCAGCATTAACAACAAAGATACGTTACCTGCATTTTACTGTCCATCATATTATTATCCGTTATCTTATATATCTGCGTTTTAATGCATTTGTAACGTTATTTTTTTATAATATACTGCTTTTGATAGATCTAGTTATCTATATAGTGTCTTGTACTCATTTATCAAACTATACCTTCACTTACATAACCAGTGCTGTTTTACTATGCTATTCATATTCCATAGCATCATTTGTAATTAGAATTAATGTGTTAAGTAGAAAATAAATTGAACTTGAACTTGCACTTTAAACAATCTCTGGTTATTTTAGTCACAACCATTTATCATCCTAAGCATGTCTTATGCCGGACATTTCCAAGAAATCCTCAGAGATCAGGTGTATCTTATTCTATAAATATCTGCACAAAATGACAGTGTTTTCTGGAGTGTTTTTTGTTATCTTGCAGAGATTGGCAGGTGGTATGTATCGCGTAAAAAMCATTTATATTTATARATGATGAAGGAAAGGCCTCTGAAAGCATTAAAAATGTAGAAATCCATAACGACAAACAGGATAAATGGATGGGATAAAGAGCAATGGAGTAAAATGGGACGGAAAAGGAAATTAAAGTGGAACGGGAAAAATTGAACAAAAACGGATAATGGATTAAAATATATCCAGTCTCTTTTGTAGGAAGGGCGAATTTCAATTTTTCTAAAATAAATTACAACGAGAACGTTGTTCATGAAATTTATGCAATGCAACTAATTTGCGGTTTGAAAGAACATTAAAATCAATGACACTAGTCTTAGTATTAACTGACTAAAATTCAGAGCAAGCGTCACGTTTAAGATAATTGCTAAATTTGTATTAAGTAAATGCATGTATCCTAGACAAAACAGGTAATTCTGACCTTCAGGACATTTAGTCTATTCCTCAAATGATGTTTTAGCTCCGTAAATAAGCGCAAAATACGTTATTTGTGTGTTCATTAGACGAGAGCAGGTTTTCAAATTAATTGAATAAATAACAAAGGCCTTGGCACAACAAGTGTYCAATTAAGCCATACGGCAAAACTGAAAACATCTTATCCTGAAAAGTGTCCAAATCCCGACCTTGTCAAACCTTGTTTACTTTCATAGCGAAAATTACTTTGATACTAAGACTATTAATTATTTTTAAGTTATTGATTTATTCGATACATACCTACGATTATTATGGAGTGTAAATCAGTMATAAGCAAATAGTATTAACGATACATTAGTTTGGTTGTCGAGAATGTCAAGGATAGAAAAAAAAACAAGAAGTTGCTATAACAGAATAAAAGAAGACCGACTCATTGAGAGGGCGGGGAGACGCCCCGGGGAAGTCTGATCTGAGGACAAACTTGAATTAAAAGTCTAAAGAAGAACAAAAATAGGGAAGATCTGGCACCGCTATGACAACCATTGTAAATATCAGTAATATGTGGAGTGTGTGATCAGGTACAATCAACTCTGATTGGCTATTCTATTTGAGATCGATTCCCTGATTGGTTGATTGATATAATAAGTTTACTTACACCACACAGGAACAGTAGTGCAGAGTTTAACGTTCCTCAGTCTTCATCACCCACACCAGGTATCAATAATAGACGTCTTCTGCAACAAACAAGAATTCATATAAACACTTCTACAAGTCTTTACAGAGGTTGTAGTACATCACAAGGTTAAAGTAAATGAATAATGATCTTATACAACATTCTAAATAGAGTTGTTGCATATCAATTGAGATTATTAATAAATAATATATTTCCCCCACATAGCGCATTATACTGCAATAAGAAATCTTCTCCACAAACCTATAGGAAATTCTTTATGATATCGTGTTTTGAAAGTCACTTATTGTCGAAAACGTTATTCTAAAGTTACACCGGAAGATCTTGCTAGTCTAGGTTTTCGTTGACAGTTATTTGGTTTAATATTTTTCTCGCTAGGTAGATAGAATTCCAAGTATTTTCAAGCTCATCAAGAGAGGCCGCTGTTCTACTGACCAAGAAAGCCACTATCTAAAACCAATGATGTATTTCATTGGACAGCACTGAGATTGATATTGATGACACTCCAAGAAAGTGAAGACATAAGAGATACAACAATAGCATATCATATCTGGGAACATTGTACTGCGAAAACACACAGAAAGAATAACAGGAAACTATAATTGTTTTCATTGGATGAGTTTAACGTTGCAGAGAAAGTAGAACGTGAGTGCAAAATAAGTCACCTGGCAATGTGGCTATTAACATTAACTATCTTACGAATTGATGATCCGATAAAAGGCCAATAGAAAGCTGTTAATACTGAATGCTTGATTAAGTGTTCGAACAAGCTATATTYTGATCAAATCTTCCAGAAATAAAAACGTGAGTGGAATAGACACGCGTATATAACGAGTGGTTCTTTTAGAAGCTCTACAGGATTTAATCCACAGCTGGTGATAATATCACTTGAAAAGATATCTCTTTTTGGTAGGTATATATATGTTAATGTATATATSCCGTGCTCCTGCCTATCGGCATTGACATATATACGACTGTTGCCCAGTTAAATAGATTAGTCAGAAAGTCCATTATTTCACTCGACTGAAAAGAAGACTGAAGATCAATTACAGCCGTATGCTTCCTATTTTTTATTAGTACGTCGCAATAAATACGTTTTTCACACAAGACGTGTATATATTATTCAAAATCGCTCTTATCAAACACTCTAATTATGCTCTTATTGCCTCAGGGTGATTAGGAAATTTATCACATATTTTTTRTTTTTCTGAAGCTCTTCRAAAATGGGAAAAATTGATTTCCCTGGTCTTTGTTTTAGATTGCGYAAGCAACGCTTATTAGATTATAATTGACTGATCAATCATGAATTTTGTGTAAGGCATCTTGTGCAGACCAGGAYAAATCACMCAATTTGCTAATTAAGAATAGGAAGTGCAGTTAAAAATTAAATTATACGAGCTCATGGAAAATTACCCGTTATTCTTCACTAAAGATAGTGTATTCCACTGACCGAAATGCATTGTTGGCTGTTATATTGCATGTCAYTCTAAAGGGATTTCGCGAGTTAACATACATTCTAGAATTGTCATTTTGTAACGCAGCTAACGTGGACTTTAATAACAACTATGCACTATACCGTATTTAAAGTTTTCTGAAACGGCTATACACACATATATATACACTGCGGAATAAGTGGAAACTGTTCAGTCAACGTTAGAAGAGATTGAAGTTCTATAGATGATTAACTTAGTTATATTTTGAGCCCCAGTTCTTGCGCTTTCAAAACATTGATAAAAGATGCTTCAAATAATAATGAGCTTTTTTATCATTTGTTTGTATTTCACTCACTTCACGTATGGCCAAACGATTTTATCAGGCTTTTTGAAATATAAAATAGTGAATTTTATCAATGTGCAACGAATGTTAGCAGTGGAAAGGAATTAACGAACCACATTCAGTAGCTATATAGACACGACCTAGACTAAGAAAAATTTACTTAGAAAGTAGAAATCGCAAGCAGTAAACGCAAATGAGACAAACATCTGAATCGACTAAGCGCAACAGGACTGACGCAGCTGGATAAAAAAAAAGAAAACTAAAGATAAAAATCGATAAAAGAGCACGAAGAAAAATTAAATACGTTTGACGTAGACGTCTTAGAGTTCAGCTGCAAAACTTGAAACCATCTAAACATTCGTTTCTATTAGGTGTGATTATTAACTAGTGATCAGTTGCACCCACAAGACATTGGTGAGTAGGTTTCCTTGAGTAAACCACTAAACACCCATACTTTACGAACACGACAAACCGCAGGTTGAAAACTTCAACCTTGATTAAATTCATGTTTTTATGAAGCAATGAATATATTTATATTTTATCCATGAAAATACAGTCAACTTTTACAAACATTAGAATGTATGAYTTCATATCAGGACTTTCGTCATGGCTATTGTACTCATTGTTTTGATATCCGACTGTGAAGTGAGATTTCCTAAAAACCTATACGCTAAGTATATATAATTTAGACTGATCCGGGAAGCTGAAAAAGGAWGGTAAAAAAGGATGGAATGTACAGAGAAATATAGTATAAAAATATAAGAACGAAAGCGCGTTGGYTTAACAGAAAGGTAAGATAGGAAATCTGGTCATATTGGATATTACAACTTCTTATTCGAATTTCAGAAAAGCATTTAAGGTCATTTTTCTTAATTTCATTATGTCATAATTTAAGAAAAAATGCCGCAAAAGGCCAGAAAGAAACTGAAAAAGAAAATTAGGATAAAAATAATCATCAAAGAAGGAAATGAAAGTTCTATCGAGGACGCAAAATTCGGAAAACGAAATTTCCTAAAGTTGAAAAATTGCTTCAATACAGGGAATTAGACTGCAAGAATAATAAAAGATGTCAAAGAAATAATGCTTGAATCCAAAACGAGTTCCAGCTGTGATAATGATATAGTCGKTCATGACATTTGTTGACTGGTGTTCTTAATACTGTATAATCGAAGTGTGTTCGTCTAACTCATTACCGATGTCTGAACTCMATACAATGTTTCTTTCATGTTCTTTCTTTCCCCAAAACAAACCACGTGTTTGTCATTTCTATTCTCATTTCCCGTTCATTAAAATCCTACATTCTAAAAATCAAATTTCCATCGTAATATTATCACAAAGAGTTGTTAGGAAATACGAACGCGTTCTTTGCGGATGTCAGAATCAAGAAAAATAAATAAATGCGTCTTCTCGGATAATCAACTATAAAGCAAATAGCAATAATATCCACTTAAAGTACAGTTACACAATAGTGTGTACGTAAGTTATAAACGGAAAAGTCTGCACGTGCTACACTAATATCTTCAGGGTATATGATGGGTGCGATCATTGCTTCTTTTATCATAGATTTTGCCCGGAGTGTTCCGTTCCGCACCTTCTGTGGTGTTATTTTCGTTTTTACTGGACTCTTGTCTGAGAAAACATAGCATTGATMCAACGAGCCGCTCTGTCTGGAGAGTCGTTAGCCGCCTTCTGATACGTACCGACATCATTTGGTTGCAAATTRAAATAAATAAAATGGAATCAAACATGTAAAGCAATCAAGTATCTATAAAAAATATTAAACTTTACATCGCATTACAGCGACGTTGTCATTTTAAGGTTTCGTAGATTACCGTAGGCCGAAGTGATCGATGGGATATGATCACTTTATCGTAGAGCCATTTATATTCTATATAATATTCAATATTTAATACCTAAGTACCCGATATGGCCTTTCTCCCGTTATATAAAATATATTTTCTTTGTAGGCAGATTTATCTGAAATGATTGACGTGATGTTATTGCGTTACTGCACGAGTTGATTTGCAAATGGACGTTCTTATACCTAAGTTTTGTGGCAAAGGATTTCGTTAGAATCATYGTTTGTCATTAGTCCATGGGTTGCTGGCATCGCAATAGTGGTTGAACGATGGGGGTTTCTTTAGTGAATGCTYCACAACGGGACAATTCTTTCTGTCAAACTATTAACGTGGAAAGCACTAAAATTTGCTTTGTCAATTGCTATACAACATTAAGTTATTATCAATATGCAAACATTACATACTGTGTATCATTGCAGCAATACGTATCTATTGTTTTCTTATACAAAGCGAAATAAAATGAAATGCACAAGTACTCCATTTATCGAAGATTAATATCTCTGTATTTCTATCATGACTGGTTGCAGCGCTTACAAGTTGATATGCAATTTTCTTGATCATAGAATTCACATAGTAAGTTTTAAGTTTAAAATCTAACTAAACAAAGCAGCACAAGACAGAATATGGTCAACAATGGTCCCTAGGTGACCGTYTATTGCGCAAATACAAATTTGAAACTGAATAATTAATATGTAGCAATTTAATTCATTGCTAGTGAGAAAAACATCAATTTGTAATCTTGAGCTTAAAAGCTCTTTAAACGATTTTAATAATTTCTCAAACCAATTGTGAATTTTTTTTTTCGTGATGATTTCACGGAATTTGGTAGAAAAAACATAGTTGAACAGATCAATCTACTACAATAGTCATGCTGTATTTTAAACTAGTACATTCAAGAGAAGACTACACCAGTCAAATGTACATAATACAGCAAGATAGCAAAAATGAAATTAAAAATGTATTAATATTTGCATATGAAAAGACGTTGAAGGTGCCTCATAAACAAATAGTTTACCATTATCCGTGGGTGGAATACGTCTTTGTTCGTAGGCTGTTGATATATTTCGGTTATAAAGTATAATATATTACCTTCTTATGCTGTACAAGAGCTGACGCGCAATTTAATATATTGCCTTTTGTTGTAAACAGCCGTACTATTGTCAGAGAGGTATTGTTTTAAAATGTTTTGGAGAAAGCCTATATTCACCTGACATATTACAGATAATACGGTACGTTCCTTACATTGTAAGTTTGCAATTTAAAAGATCGCCATTCTCTTTGAAACTTAGTTGGGATTTGTGGCCAATATGATAATATAGCTAGCCATGAGTGAACAACAAGGAGTTATCAAGATTTCATTGCTACATTTTCGTTTGTCTTACACCCATATAAAAAATTCATGTAATATCTTGCTTATCTATTTAACTAGCAATCCTGTGGTCCTGGTTCAAGTCTTAGGCACTGATTGTATGTAGGTTGAGCGATCCTGTGGTCCTGGTTCAAGTCTTAGGCACTGATTGTATGTAGGTTGAGCGATCCTGTGGNATTGTCACTACTTTGAAATCATTCTATATTGATACCTGCCTTGGCCTGGCTGACACAATGTACCAGACATGCCCTTTTCGATTTTAATTTTTGTACAAACTCATATCCAGGCAAAACAAAATGTCAGTTGATGCAAGGCAATGCCCAGCCTGGTCGAGTTGGTGCATTTATCCCACAATGCAAAGAGAACGGAGAGTTTGAAGAGAAGCAATGCTGGGGGTCTACAGGATATTGCTGGTGTGTTGACAAAGATGGACAAGAAATTCTTGGCACTAAAATCCGCGGAGATCCCGACTGCAGCAATTCAAGTAAGAGACTTTACTACATAAATATGCAAAGCAATGCCGCCGTTTTGGTTGATAGCAGAAGCTATTTTTTAATGTCTCACTCAGGTCACACAGGGAGCCCGTTAGAGTACAAAAGATTTTTTTCCTCAGTCCAAAGCCCACGCAATTATAGCACAGGAAGACCATAAAGATATAGCTTGATTTGTACTTACAGGGGTCCGCAAAGCTTTAACACTCTGTCAGTATCAGCAAACCATTGTCATCAATATCCCAGGATCGTGTGGCCCTCCAAGCTGTAACGATGATGGTAGCTTTGCAGATGTACAGTGTTGTGCCAGCACAGGATACTGCCACTGTGTAGACAAAAACGGAAAAGAGATTGTTGGAACGAAGCAAAGGGGACGACCATCATGTTAAGGTAGATTACTATTGGGGTTCCTGTGGTGAACTAGCATGCGCAATGACAACAACAACTGAACGAGAACGACAAGTGGAATGATAATCACAATACTCTATTTTACTGGCTCCAAGAGCTATTTTGAAAGTTATCCGTGCCTTTCTGGCGCAATTATTCACAAGGCTCACCTACCTTTTAATATGGTCTTTGATAGCAGCTGTAGAAAGGAGTAACAACAATAATGCCAAAACATTGATAACAACAGCAATTACCATGACAACGCAATTACCATGACTGCGACAGGAGAAAGGACAACTACATCTGAAAACAAAAAAAATATATTCATTAATGGCATTTAATAACGTAAAGATCGACAATAACTGCTGCTTAATACATATATGTCATATCACGACTAGGCCAAGCAAGGAGATATCTAAGGGTAGTAAACGCTGTCTTAATCAATAGTCTAATCGCATTAGCAGACTATGATTAAAGAGCAATGTTTCGTTACTCAATAACGCCATGGAATTAATTATGTATTTCAATATTTAAGTTTCAGATAACACACAAGATGGGACATCAGCCAGAGATATGACACATGGTACTATTTACGTTTTTAATGATAATAAAGAGCATATATGCAGAATGACTCAATGACTCAATCAGTTTTTGGATCAAAACACTAAGATCTTTTATGTGAAACACTGTCTATGATTGTGTTATTTCAACCAACCCCTTCCCTTTTTTGCAATGTTATTTTTCAATGAATTGCTCCAAAGTCAAGGAATGCGTGTGCAACCTTGCTGTGGGGGAAAGGGCTTAAGGTATTCCATTTATTTAGCAGATGATTGTATCATTTAATGGTAAGGGCAGCTGGAAAAATAAACAGACCTACAGAAACAGTCGCGCGCGGTAATAAAAGTAGGACCACAGTGATGGTAGATCGTGTTCTACTTGACTACCCTTGTGGTTTCCTGTCGTGTTTACTATGAATTGTCCAGCTAACCTCTCAAAAATATTAACCTTTTAAGACAATAATCACCATCATAATACAGCTTTATTGTTATCCGATTTACACTATTAACGCCAAGCTCAGCAAAGCTCTTTATCAGTGTATTCCACTTGCTTTGCATGCATTGCATGCCGAGAAAGGTTATAGATAACAATGTACGATAGTGATAGTTAAAAGCGGGATAAACAACTTCACCACTCCTCGTGTTCGGTCTACGTCCACTGTTTCTCTTGATAGAGCAGTTGTTTGGGTCTTTTATAACCATACAATGATGACGATTATAGTAGTTGTCATAGTGACGGCGTGGAAGTGATAATGATAAGACTGATCCGGCAATAATATCAATGATTTAATATGTAATATACGGTACATATCTAGAGGTAGGTATGTAATATACGGTACATATCTAGAGGTAGGTATGTAATATACGGTACATATCTAGAGGTAGCTAGTCTCTAGAGGTAGGTATGTAATATACGGTACATATCTAGAGGTAGGATGTAATATACGGTACATATCTAGAGGTAGCTAGTCTCTAGTGTCAAACCTCTGTAACTGCATGGTTTCCATGCAATTTTTTCTTCGCTGTAAAACTTGTGATCGTGTGTCCACATCTCGAAAACATTTTAACCATTTAAAAACCTGACAAAAAGAGTTAGGCAGGAAATTGTTTGTAACGATAAAATAAATCAAAGGATCAGCAGCACTATTCACTGTAATAGCAATTACTGACAGGTTATACACAACCAGGAAGTACTTCCACATAGTTAACTCAGGTCGAAGTGAAAGGACAACTCTTAGAGTATTCAGTGGTAGCATTGTTATGGTAAATACCAACACCATAGGAGTCAAAATCTTCAGTGCTCGCTTATTTTCCTTCATTCTGCGTGTTTCTGTTGCACTTAAGCGAAAACTCAGAGGAGTGTGCTTGAGATGTTTTAAGCTTTGACGGTGAAACGTTGTACTACTACGTAACAAGCTTGAGATGTAGATGTATGTAAACAGTACAACTGTCAGCGGTAATAAGTACCATAGCAACGATAAGATAACAGCATACACCACCTGCATACTCTTAGGCCAGACAACAATGCAGAATTTACCCTGGTCAACTTTCTGGTATTTAACAAAAAAGAATAATGGCAGCGAGGTAAAAGTGAAGGAAGAAAACCAGATCACTGCCAGAATGTACCTGGAAATAAAACACACCAAGAAATTAGAGAGTTGTGAAATATCCGGGGCTCTAAATACCCGGTCACTATCACCCGGGCTCTAATACCCGGTCACTAACTATACCCGAGTATACTAACTACCTGGTCTCTACTACCCCAGGCACTAATTGGTATTTTTGGATCGAAGAGTCTCACGCAGTTCAGTGGTTCTTTCACATGTGAATTATTGAATATAACAGTTTGACCAACAAATAATGCACACAGAACGTATATACAACATAAGATGTCATTACTAATCGCATTTGAATGATGAAACCAAAAGGCATGTCATTGTGCAGCACTTTCCGTTCCTCCGAAGTAAAATGACTGAATATGACATATGAAGATGTTATTGTGAGGGCCGTATATCAATTATGTCATGTTCGACAATTATTCGGATTCTAGAACGAAGGATCGAAAGCCCATATGCCGATGTCATGACAGAAATTAAAGTCTTTCTGTGGGACTCCATAACTCTTTTGTTAATTGAATTCCAAGGTATGAATTTTTAAACGGCTTAATTAGAAGATCAACAAACATATTCGATGAGACCTTCTCTTCAAGTTCTAGAACTGGCGGATGATCGATGTTTTAGTGCCAAACGCAGAAAGCCATTAACCCCTAAGATATTGGTTCTATTGAGATAGCATAGGTTTTATGGTCAAAACGTGAAACAGATCACAATAAAGAAAAGAACGGATTACTGAAGAAATGAATAATTAATCAAATAATCAATCAGCTAATTAACCCAATAGAACAATCAATCAAATGGAATTAGTAAACAAATGAACGAAGTAATAAATCATTTCGAACAAGTCACAGTAATACTCACCAAACATGTGTTCGTTTGCCATTGTTTTTACTGGGAGTTCTTATCTTCATTCCATGATATCTTTCTGCTGCAATGGCCGCAATGCTCCATATCGATGCTCCATGAAATACCTCTGTCAACGGGTACAAATACTGACAGAAAAACGACCCTAAAGGCCAATTGGTAGGCATTTGCTCCTTAATAATAGCAATAGGAAAGCTTAGCGCCAATACCCCCATATCAGCTACTGCTAAATTGCAAATATACGACGACAGTGGTGAGCGTCGCTTAGATACTTTAATAGCAACCCATAGGTTTCCAAGGAGACCAAGTATGGCCAGCAAAGAAACAAAAATAAGCCGTATAATCCTGAGTAAGTGCGGTTCGTGCACGTAAGGTGGCCATCCAAGAGTCGTATTAGTGGAAATATTCGCTGATAAGTTCGACATTACTCAACCGTTTCGTACAAAGTATGGTTCATTAATACATACTCGGCTTCCGTAAGTTGAAAACTATTGCTGATCTCTTTCGAGAATCAAGATTTCTTATAAAGCGTTGTTTCACAAAATCTGTCTCCGTTAATGCAGCCACTAAATGACCCCCGTCTCTTGAAAACCCTGAAGCGATAAGGCTTTCTTTGTAATACAGTCCTTTACGTGCTAGTTGAACACAAACCTTGTTGTCGAGGATACTTTTGTTATTAATGAAGAAAAAGGGTAATCTCTTGCAGTAGTTTGTTGTCCAACCAAATGCGTGCGTCGGTGGTTTTTCTTGCGTCAATTAGTAACGGTATTTGGTTCCATCGCACGTTTTTTTCTGTTTTTTTTTTTTTGTCGAAATACTGTTAGCGTTGCTTAAAACATTGCCACAACACAACGTTTAGATCGAATACTAACTGTTTATCTTCGCTGTTAATGGCTGCCTGTCACCATATCATCTTGTAACAAAATACACCAGTATATATCACTTTAAGAGTGCGTTTCGTGTCCTTCTTCCGTCGTCGTCAGCAAACTAGGCTGAGTGTAGCAATAGCGGCGATGAGTGGTCTCTTCAGTTAGGACCTACTTAAGTACGGCGATTGTTTTTTATAAAGCTTACTCTATGTTAGGAATGTCTTATTGCAGCCAGTCTTTCCACAGCATAAACCATCCGATGTGCGTACCAACTGTCAATACTTCAATTGACTCGGTTATGAGGGCGTGTCTTCAGAAACGCATTACATTGATAGAAACACCCATAGGTCCTTGGATCGTCCTCATATTTCAGTTTTGTGATAAGAAATAACCCATGTAGCAAGAGTTATATGCTTGAAGTAACGGTTATTGTAGGAACATTTAAACACAGATATCATAATAATTGTTCGCCAAGACTACGTAGCTGCATGGGTCGCAGATAATATCAAATTGAAATGATTAATTATGAAAACTGAGACTCGATGAGCATTTAGTTGTAAAAAAGCAATCTGAAATCATACTTTTTTCATACATGGATGGAAATACCGCTGTAGCGATTCATCGATTCTAACTCTTCACTCGATCCCTTTTATTCACAAAAAAGAGTTGATGATTGTAACTGGTAGTTTCGAGAAGGCCGTTCAAAGACGTAAAGCCACCAACAATGCTGAATATCCTGAAAAAAGTAATTAAAAGATGGCACAAAACGTGATATAAGGCCATCTGTAAAACCTTAATTTGTGGACAAAAATTGAACTCATGACACAGCTGATATAAATCATCTTAAATTCCGTCGTCTAGAAACTTCAGATTTATGGCACGAGGCATATCCTCTGCAACTTGATTCGGTGAAACGGATAATCGAAAAAAAAGTGAAGGTTTAATTGAACAGATTTCACGCGATTTCATGGCCATGGGAATCAAGTTTTCCGGTTCGATGTCGGCAGTGGTGACTTGATGAAAGCCGTGTGACGTGGATCACTTTAATGTTTATAGTAATAGAAAAGCTGATTGCACAGACAAAGGAATGCTATCGATAATGAACAAATTTAATTGCTTGTGTTTCTCAATTTCAGGGCAATCTCCACTATCGCTGCTGCTTTATTCCTAACGAGTGTCAATGAAATTTACAACGATTACGACTTCATCATCGATGTCAATCAAATCTAATCATCCACCCAACCCCCGGGAAGCGATCCGGAAAATAAGTGGCATTATATTTTATCACAACCATCAAACATTTGACAATTTCATGAGACTTGTTCGTGCCAAAGTGAGGAAATCCTGAAGCTTGTAAAAAAACAAAAATGTATTCCAATGGGGTTACATCAAAAAGGGTCACACTAGTAGCGCAGGTCATGATCAGGTCATTTCTACGCAAAAATATCGATATATTTCTTTATATTGTAAAGGAAATCTGACAGGCTGTATAGCGCGCACGAATTGTGGAAATTGAATCACATTACTTGTGTGTAGACTTTCATAACATCTCACGACTTTGTATTGATTTGAAAAACGAACACTAATATAAACACCGAAAATCTATCGGACTCAAATTGCCTCCTCACCCCAATCGAAAGGCCTGTGAATGAGGTTTTATACCGTATGTTGAGTGACAATGTGCCAAAGGAGCAATTAAAGTGACGAAAGGCCTTATTGGGTCTCTCCATCGTAGTGACCGAAACGTAACCAACAACTTGTAGCAGGCGTTCCTTGCGAGTCCTTGAAATGTTTTCAAAAAAGTTTTTAAAAGAGAAACTGATCTCTAGAGAAAAACAAAACGAAGTAACAACAGCAAATAAAACTAGGAGAAAAGAAAAACAGAAAGAAGAAAAGAAAACAAGAAACAAACGAAAAAGAAACAATAAACAATCAAAAAAAAAGACAAATTCCAGAAGCAGGACTCGAACTCGGAACTTTCACTTCAGGAGAAGATGTACCCCCCCTGAATATAAAAGAAATTATGAAAATAAAAAACTAAAAAGATGGGACGATTCCCCCGAGACATTCTATGAAGCTGAGGCGTCGAATCGGCTTACGTTACGGTTAGAGATTTCGGCTCTTCCACGTTATCCCGAGTGAACATAAAACTTAGTCTTAACCAAAAGGCCAGGGAGTGAGGGGGTAGCCGCCCACTAGAGCATACCTTTAGCTACCCTCTTAGACCATCGTACTATGAAGACACTTATAGATATCTGATATCTAATGGGGATAGTCTATTCGGCGAAATTCTATGCTAATATATGACGTCACCAAAATCCTTAGGCATCAGCGAGCAAATCAGAGCTCAGCTCGGGAATTAGCAAACAATACAGGCTTTGCATAATCATTCTTCAGTGAATTTATTATTTGATGGGGGGTGGGGATGGGTGCTGAGTGCTGATTTGCGGCCGAATACCGATGTACTCGATGTACTGTGACATCACAGGAAAATTAGGTGTATAGTTCTTATAATCAGACAGACATTATTAGTATTCGGATAAACACCACGGCACAAATCTCTATGAAATTCTTAACGTAAGCGGTTTACAAATCAGGAAGATATTTGCTGGAATTCAACGGAACACAATTAAAGACCTCTCGAACGTTCAATGCACATTTTCGTTCTTCATGATATAAAAGTTTACACATTATTATTTAACAATTGAAGAGGATGAATGAAAATCCGTAAAAAAATAATAAAGAAATAAAGGAAAACTTAGCAAGCTATTTGCTTTTATTCAAAACTATAATCAGGCGAATGATAGTAATTTTAAAACATGGATGTAAAAATAAAGTTTTGATAATAAAAACATATTATCGAAGAAAACGTTCGAGAGTCAGCAGATACAAAAAGATGTCTTTGATTACAGCAAAATTAAAGCTCTGAGAACCGCTCCATGTCGCGTCGTGGATAAAAATTCCTTTTCCAAAGCTTTCAGACGGATATGTTTACTGTAGGCAGGGAAACAGGGCGCCCCGCGCCAGGCCCCATGATCAACCATCACAATAGGTTTTTTGGCCCCTGGGAATCGCCGCGTTGTGTATTCATATGCAACGTAATGGTCGATCGCCACGTGATGTTTTCAGTTCCTTCCAGCGTATACAGATAATTCAGAAAACGTTGTATACTGAAGATAGTGTATTCGAAGTTTACTAAATCTATTAATGGCCTGAGTCACATGCGTCTCGACTGCCTATATTTTACAAAATTTCATACCAAAAGTCTCAAAAGTCAACTTTGAAATGTCAGTCTTGCACGATATTTTTTGCAAGACATTTTTTTTCTACGAATTTGTATTGGTATTTTCCCAACCCATGCATAAAAACTATAACGACCCGAGTCTCCTACAACTACTCAATACATTCAAAATAGTGTTTTTTTTTTCTTTAGTGTACATTTCTAGCTACGTTATTATAGGCAGTGGCAAACTCGAAAGCTAAGCTCCTTTAGCCACTGCACACTTTCCCCTATAACAAACATGTAATTCCCCATAATTATCTTTAATAGATTAACAATATTCCCAGTTGTAAAATAAGTATATAAATGTGTGTAAAATAAAAATTGAATTGAATTGATTACGCTTTAGACGTTATACGGATAAAACCGGCTCATGTATTTTAAAAAAACTGGAGACTTTCGACCATGCAGCGAACACCGACATATAAGCGCCGTTTACACATGGTTTACACGAGCAATTTTTCCTAGGTTGACAAGTTTCTTGACAAGGAAATATTGTCCGTGTCAATGGTCAACAAAATTCCTTGACAATTCCTCCTTGACAATGTTTCTTTGCTTGTTTAAACGAAGAACAAGTTTTAGATAACAAGGAAAAATTGCCCGTGTGAATGGTCAACAAGTTTTCCTTGACAATTTTTCCTTGCCACATTTTCCTTGTTGTCCATTTTCACGAGCAAATTTCGTCCTTGCCAATTTTTCCTTGTCAAGGAAAAGCGAATATGTTGGCTTTTCCTTGACAAGGAAAAATTGTCAATTTTACCCCATTTACACGAGCAATTTTTCCTTGTCAAGGAAAACTTGTCAAGGAAAAATTGCTCGCATAAACGGCGCTATAATGTTGCAATTTGTAGCCGAACTCACGTGTTCCATGTGCCGAAGGCATGGTACTTTGACCTCTAAAACGAGTTCTCATGTTTCACAAACAATATTTTCTTGCGAATTATACCGCAATATGAAGTTCTAGGTCGTTTTTCTTGTGTAAATTCAATATTTATATGATTTAAAACATTCCCTTGTAGTTAGATAGACCGAAGGGTCACTACAGAACGCTACAAAGTAGCGATATGTTGTTACCGGGGCGGTTTTGTTCGCCGTTGTCCACAGAGAATTCCGTTAATTCTTTTAAACTATCCCTACAAAAGCTCAAAACAGTCGAAAAAAAAAGCCAAAAGGAACCCCGACATAAAAAGAAACCCACGCAAAACTACAATATTGGGATACACAGCTTAAAGAAAAACAAACAAGAAAGCCACTACAATGCCATGAATTAACTTGAAGCACTTTTCTTGTCAAAAGTGCCGCGCAGCACAGGGAATTCTATCCCCTTCTCTCGAGGGATTCTGCATCATTGTTCTAGCTATTTTTAGCGCAAAAATAAACAAGAAGGAAATAGTTCTTACCTTTCACAGTGCACGTGCTTGAAACTACAACACAACGACAACACAACCATCTCAGTGCATTCTTGCGCGAGCTGTTCCGAGTGGGTTAAACATCCCGCCAAAACGTCACAAAAACCCCGGATGTCAGTTGTAACATTTGGGATTCCTGTTTAGCACGTGGTACAAAATGGCGGACGAATTTACAAAGTTTGTGATTATTGTTGTCAGAGTTTTGGTTATTTAAAAGGGTATAAGAATGGATTCTGATGATGGACTCATGCTTAACATTAGTGCTCCTAATTTGGATGAATCTCTAACTCGTAAAAGCGAAAATCGACACAAAAACAAGATTTCCAATGTAAGTTAATCGTATTTTTTAATATTTCAATATTTCTCGAAAATTAACATATACGGTTATTTTTAGTGGAAGGAAAGGAAACTGCAAAGAAAACAAGTACCGGTCTCCATTCACAAAGACAAATCCAAAAAAGGCGCTGAAGAAACCAGGGCAAGTCAAGTCAGTAAACATCAAAAACTTCATTGTGATTCTCTTTAGCTATTTACTGACTTATTGCATGGTGAAAGAAAAGATGTGACTATATTTTAAGACAATAAATGACTATTCTTACAGGTCTACAATGATGATTTAACCAAAATACCAAATTGTGAGCACAACTCTTCACAGAAACCACAGGTAACCCACCCATGAATTAAAAAAGAAAAAAAAAACAATTTGTTTTACAGCTAGCTAAATCTTTTATTATTCAAGGTCATCTCAAGTCTTTTCAGACATAATCCAAAGATTCCAAAGTTTAAAAGGTCAGAAGCAGTTTTCTTGTTTCAACTCTATTTCCCACCCATAATTCTTTGCATGCAGATAGATTTAAACTGTAATTATTCACTGCCGCAGCTCACAGCAATCACCCAATGAAGACAGTAAAGATGGTCCTCTATTTTCTGTTGATAAATTTGGTGATCTGCCTTTATCAGCTCACATGGTAAGTAGAGCAGACCCCTTGATTAATGTTGAGCACAACATCATTGCATTAAATTGCTCAATATTTCCCCCTCTAGATTTCAAATCTTGAAAATAATCTGAAAATGACAACACTGACAAGGTAATGTAAAGCCGTTTTATTAACATTTTAGAAAAGTAACAAAATTTGACTGATTAGTAAAGTTGATTTAAAAATTCAGTGTTCAAAAACTTGCCATACCAGCATTGATTGGAGGAAAAGATGTCTTTGTCAAATCTAAAACAGGATCAGGTACAACAAAGTGTTATCATCTCTGCTTCATATATTTCTTATTAAACCTATATTCCATTATTCTCTTTCCTAGTTGATTTGCTTGTCCTCTTCTTTCTCCCCTCCACCTATCACCARTGATTTGCTCCTTTTAATGAATGTTGCTTGCATTAGGGAAAACACTTTGCTATGCTCTTCCAATAGTTCACTCTCTTCAAAAGATGCATCCTAAAATAGAGGTAAGCACACAGACATGAATGTAATAGTTAGATACATGTTGTATACTGTCATTGGGATGTCATTTAGAAATTTGATAATATTAGGTTGTATTTTGTTTATTTTAGAGATGTGATGGGCCCTATGCATTGGTTCTTGTGCCAACAAGAGAACTAGCACTTCAAAGCCTGAATCTTCTTCAAAAGCTTGTCAAGGTATACTCTACATTAATTTTGTACATTTGTTTTTTGTTGCCATTGTCTTGGCTTATAAAGGTTTAAAATATATAATGTCATCAATTCATTATGAAAAAATGTGTTAACGTTTGTCTAGCCATGCCAATGGGTTGTACCTGGGTTTGTTGTTGGAGGAGAAAAAAGAAAATCTGAAAAGGCCAGGTAAATAATATCTGGCGTTGTGTAACAATAAGTCTGAACAATAATTATGTTAAGTTTTTGTATAATTTCCCAGGTTACGTAAAGGCATTAACATTCTTGTTGCTACTCCTGGACGTCTTCTTGATCATATTGAGGTATGGTATGCTTTATTGCTTTGATAACACAGAAAGATGCACATAGTTTATATTCCTGTTGTATATTTAGATTATATTCATGTTGTTAGACTGTGACAGTGTGTACAAGACATCGTATAAGAACAAAACTATTTTATAACTAAACTTTCTTTTATACGTTGTATTAATATTATTTGGTATTTCATTATTTGATCACAACTGTTAATCTGGTTAACAATGTGGCATAATTATATTACATTTTGTTCTTACCTAGAAAACCAATTGCTTACAGTTTGATAAGATCCATTGGGTTGTACTTGATGAAGCTGACAGGTATGTGTAGTCTCGTAGTACATTTTATTAAAAGTACAAGACAGTCAATAACTATAAGATACTCTTCAAGACTTCTAGATATGGGGTTTGAGAAGGAAGTGTCATCAATACTACAGGCCGTCAAAGATCAGTTATCTCCAAACGCTGCATTTCAAACTGTCTTGATGTCTGCTACCCTCAATAAAGGTCAGTACAGCAATATAGGCCTTATGGTAACAGTATGTGACTTCAAATTCCAATTTTGTGAAGAATCGTGTATGATTTATAGAATTAGTGTCCCAACTTTTTAGGCATTGAAAGGCTGGTACAAATGTATCTTAATGATCCAAAATTTGTCAATGAAGCAGAAATACAAGATGTCTTTCAGGTGGAAAAGGTATGATTTGTTGGTCTGTGTTGATAGTGTAATATTTAGTATGAATATATGTCTGGTATCTTTTGTTTTTTCTTCAGGTTGTTTCTGAAGACAAACCTACCACCATGCCACACCAGCTTCAACAATTCTTTGTTATTGTTCCCAGCAAGATGAGATTAGTAACTCTTGCGGCATTTATACTTTGGAAATACCAGGTAGACTTCTATGTCTGATTTGGTAGTTTGAAATGAAGGAATTCAAATTGAGCTCAGATTTCTTTATCTCTTGTTGTCAGGATACAAGACATTCATGTAAAATGATAGTGTTTCTGTCAAGTCGTGACTCAGTAGACTTTCACCACAGTTTATTTCAATCAATTCTCCAAATAGGTAAATTAATTCCTGCTTGGTTTGCATGTGTGTCAAACAGTTTTGACAAACTTTCAAACTTGTCCTTAACAGATAATCTGAAGTTGTTCAAGCTGCATGGTAACATGTCACAAACTGTAAGTATCAGATTAGTATTATTCTCATTCTCAGTTATACAATATAGAGTGTGCTTTCAATGATGTAACGTTTTAGGAGCGGACGGAAGTATTCAAAGATTACAGCAGTTGTGCGGCAGGAGTTTTATTGTGTACAGTAAGTACACTGTGTTCTTCACAGCCTCAGTTGACTTATAATCTTTTGAGTCTACTGATAAAATGAATCAGATAAAGCAAGCTCATATTGCATTTTTTCCATGACAGGATGTTGCTGCTCGTGGGCTTGATTTACCAAATGTCAATTGGATTATCCAGGTGAAAACTAATCTTTTTTGATGTATTAATAATTATCAGCATTACCATCAATATCCATTATATATTCACTCATTCAACTCCTGCTTTGCCCAACCATTTATTGATAATTAGTAATTTTTTATCAATCCACATCCATTTGTCATTCTCTATCCATCATTGTGGTGTTCTTATTCATTCATTTACTGACAAACGTGATGGATATGTTAAGCTACAATATTTCAAAAAGTGACAAAATTAGATTTATGATTCACTTGCAGTACAATACTCCAGGCAGTGCTGTAGATTACATCCATCGAGTTGGAAGGACAGCAAGAATAGGCAATGAAGGACAAGCATTGCTGTTCCTGACACCTTCAGAGGTACAGACAGTATTGAAGTGCATCATTCCTAAGTACAATATGTGATATTTTGTTTTTGTTTTACAGGCAGCCTATTTAGAAACCCTTGCAGAGAATAACATAAGGTAATAGGAATACAGTAGCATAGTATGACATCAATGTACTATCACTGTCTAGAGAATATGGCCAAAAATGTCAACAACTTTTGCATTTCTTTTTTCGTCTTCATTTTCTTTTGATTCAATTGTTTTCAGACCAAATGAGATTCTTGTCACAGATGTTTTGTGCTGTCTAGTTCCCTCAACTAACTTGAAAAGTAAAGATAAAAAGAAGGTATTTTGAGTAAAATAAGATGTCTGAATTAGATGTAGAAGTCTCTACGATTGCCAAGGTGGTGTATTTATGACACTGTTTGTTTGATTGACAGCATAGATGATCAATATTGTTGATTGCTAGCTTATTGATATGATTGCTGAGCAGTTTTACTGACATTGATGATGGTATTTAGACAGTGCTATTGATTTCATAGGATATAATTAGGAAACTTTCACAAGATGCAGCTACTGACTTGCAGTTGAAGTTTGAACAGTTTGTACTCTCAAGCAAAGAAAACACCAAAGCTGCTAAACAAGGTTTGTTTGGTTGGTTCTTCAGCAAAAGACCATTTCATCCTCAAGTAATTTATTCTCTTTCAGCTTACCAGTCCTTTATAAGATCATATGCAACATTTCCATCAAGTCTCAAGCACATCTTTCACATCAAAAACTTACATCTTGGTCACGTAGCCAAAGCATTTGCCCTGAGAGATGCACCAGGAGGGATGTTTCACCAAGGAAAGCAACAAAATAAGAAGAAAAAAACAAGGTTGAGTTTAATACACTACTAACTTTGATTCTATTTCTCAAGCTGCATGGTTGCTCCTCTAATTTTCAATCTTTCAAAAGGAAAGTCCCTGATCTCAAATTAACACCAATTTCTGTATTTACAATTTAGTAAGAAACCCTTGATAAAACCATCCAAACGAGGTCACCCCATAGATGAGCATGATGGAGATAAATCAACAAGTGGACCACGACCAAAGAAAAGAAAGAAAAAGCAATAGTCATGAACCATTATAATAACTTTTATTGATAATTTATTGATCCCAATACTTGTAAATTACTACATAATATTTGCATTTTGCAAGTAGAAAAAAGATTGAAGAAATGCTGCAAGGATTGTTATATATAAAATAAATTATTACAGTCAACAATAGTTATATTGAATACCATTTGAACCGTAAATCAAGTATTTAAATTGTGAATTTTAAAGTGACAATATATGAGGTAGTTTTATGAGGTAGTTTTCTGCATTTACATTTGAAATGAACAGTGCGTTTATACTATCAGAGTTCCTGCAAGACAAGAATTGACTGTGATATAATGGCCAAGTATGAATTCACTTTTATATACATGTATTTTTATTGAATGCTTGTTATTGTGAATATATTTACATCTTTGAATTTTATAATAAAATTTACACATTGATAAAGCATAAAATGCTGTGCAACATGCCTTCGTGTTATTAATTGCTTATTCATAATCATTAAAGTCCATAAGGTTGCATTTGTAACTTTAAAAGCATGTCCTCTCTAAACATTAGAAATGAGAACAAGAACAAAATCCTGATTCTTGTTCTTATGCTTGTGCGTTAGTGAAGACAGACAACCCACTGGATTTCATATGCTGACCTTTACACCAGCTAAACTAACCTACATGAAGGGCATTGTTAATGGTAAATGTTCTTGTAAATGCAATTTAACCATAAAGTATAAAGATATACTGTGGTGCATAATTTAAATGATTAAATTGCTGTTAAAGCAACATAAATTGATCCCCTGACAAGACATGGTTGAGGACCACAACGGTTTACTTCTTGTGGACCTATTAAGTAAGAATAATTCAGTTAGACTGTGTACCTGCCTAAGGAAATACTACTGACTGTACTTTCAATCTTGTTACCTTTATTAAGGGTATCTTTCTGTGTCATGGGACCACATGGGCCACGTACATTATCAGGATTGGATCCCAAACTGTTATCACGGAGAGGTCCAGTCACTGCAACACGCTGCATGCTAAAAATATACAAACATTAATTAGAGTACAAACACTAAGTGTGTACAATACTTTCCACTATTTACTATAAAATAGTGTTAATTAAACAATAGAAAACAATAGAATTAGCATAATTTAGTGGTATTTATGTTGCACAGTTTTAGTGTTTGTACTCTAGTTGCAATATATATTATAATTAATATTTCTCAGATATTATGGACATGCAAATTAATGTAACATGCTTTTACAAACAAAAAGTTTATTTTTATGAACATGAGGTCATTGTGACAATAATTATGATAATTCCTTAGTGTCTTATTTTATAATACATACATAAGTATATCATGGTTTGGTCCTTTGTAAAGAGAAGGGTTAGATCCAGTGGGATGACCAAGTAAAGGAGACTTGAATGTAGGCCTGATTAACATAATAAACACAGAATATAATGAATCTCTAAAAACTACTATAAAAGGAAAAAGAAATGATAATAAACAAATGAATGTGATTTTTAAAGAAAATAGAATGACAACTACATGTACCTTGATGACCTTAGAATATGATGAACAACTGAAAAAGAAAAAAATAAATAAAACATTGGCATCATTGTACACATTGTAATGGAGGTGACTTGGATTTGGCTTTCTGCCTGAAGCATGGTTTCTTCCTGGGGTCAGCTTTTGTTTTTTGAATTAATATTATGATCAGTACCCTTTTCTTTTGGCTGAGACGTTTGTTTAGGTGCCTTCTTAGGATCAGTTTTCTTCTTGGGATCAGCTTTCTTCTTGGGATCACCTTTCTTGGGATCAGGCTTTTTGCTGGTCTCTGCTTTTGGTTTTGGGTCAGGTTTTGGTTTGGGTTGAGATTTCTTTACATTTGCAGCTTGTTCCCTGGCCTGCTTTTCTGCTTCTTCTTTTCTGAAGAGGAAAAAAATTACTACAGTTAAATTACAGTTAAATTACTACTGTTATTATATAGCCAACAGCACTGAGCATTAAGAGGATAATGTTTACCAGGATGCTAAAAAGAGGAGAGAAAGGACGAAGCAGGACAGCAATCTTACTCCTTGTCACAAGTGATCGTTGATATTTAGATGTGACTGTCTGTAATATAACTCACCTTTTTCTTTCCCTTTCAATTTGATCCGCTAAAGAAACAATAATGAAGAAATAAAACAATGATGACAAATTGATGGAATTGAAATCTAACTTTTAATTTCCCATTGTCAAGGAAAATTGTTCTCAATAACTGAATTGATCCAAAGAAGTAATTTATTTCCATACACTAGATATAAAATGTCATTCATTAAGTAATGATATATCCAGGACTACGTAACTGACTTTTACCTTTAACACTTTCCAGAATTTTCCTGCAATTGTACTCATCATACTTAAGCTAAAAGATGGAGAAAGATTTCAGTTGAAGAGCAATTCTCAAAATGATGTAAAAATGCTAACAATGTAATTCAGTAATGCAACAACTACAAGTACAATAACAGACTATGAGAAAAGTACATGTCCATTTACATGTATAAAGTTATTTAAACAAAGCAAAAATACAATAAATACAATTTCATTCAAGATTTTCTTACTTCTTCAAGTGCTTGAGCAATGACTTCTGAATCAAGAACTGAACCAAACTCTGCTTTAAAACTATTTAAGACTAACAAAAAGATATCAATCAATAAAACTTTGCTGAATAAAAATACATGTACAACAAGCTGCAACATATACAATGATTTAAGCAATAACTAAAGAGTATCTAAATGGACATAATCAATGTTTAGCTACCTTATAATCTAAACAATTAAATTTGTTTAATAATTCATTATTTAGTAGATTGTATAGAAGAGGGCTTACTTCTTTTCCTTTCTTCTGCAATTCTCTTTGCTTCTTCTTGTTCTCTTTTCTTGCGCTCTTCTTCTTTTCTCTTCTGTTCCTCTAGTCTTTCCTTTCTTTCTCTTTCTCTCCTCTTTCTTTCTTCTTCTTCCCTCTTCTTCCTTTCTTCTTCTTCCCTTTGCTGTCTTCTCCTAAGACCACATATCAACAACTATTGTTAATTATTAGTTATTATAAAATCCATGTATAAAAGGCTCTTACCTTTCTTCTTCTGCCTCCTCTGTGCAAACATAAAAGAAAAATTTGAGAAATATTATTAGCTTGATAATTTATGATGAAGTCAAATTTGAAAACTACAATCTAAATAGTTCCACAATGAAATATAAATACTACCACATATATGTAGTTCACATATTCACATCATTAATTTCTAGTTTTACAATATTCACCATTTAGTGATTGTAGCATCAGTTCTGCTTGGTATTCTTCATAGTCAACCTAAATTTATATATTAAATACATTAATAATAATAACTTGGTGCAGATAATAACAACAATCACTTTGTTACACTTACTGATTCTAGGGTGATTCGAACAACATCTTCATTACAGTTAGGATATTTCCTCTTCATCTTATTTAACACTGGCAAAAAAATAACAAAAAAGTCAAATCTTAATGAAGAAAATAACATAATGTTAGAATTAATAAATATCTCTTACTTTCTTCTTTGTCTTCCTCGGAAAGAGAATGACCACCATAGCTCTGAAAAATATCATTATATAATTATTACTGTTCCATGAGAATATTAATTTTAAAATACAATCTGAGTTTAACCATGTGTCAATATTAAGGTTATTTATGATTAGGCTGCTTATTCTAAGACATTATTAGTGGACTTACTGAGACAGACTGACGATCTATGAAGCTTGTCTCCTATTAGCAAAATGGAAATAAAATACCAAGAATCAAACTAACTAGTCTATATAATTTCTACTACATATTGTATATTGTTGTTAAGTAATATATACAATATGAGCGGGCGATCTGTATGAGGATTTAAAACAGCGAGCTGTTTTAAACCTCATACAGATCGCGCGCGAATATTGTATATTACTTATGAAACGTTGAGGTAAACTAGCTCAGGTTTTAAAGAAACTTTTGAAAAAAAAATCAATCTGACCGAGAAAATCAGAGTTAAAGTTTATGCAAATGAACAAGAAATCTGTATGTAWTATACAACTCTCTTCATGGGCTATGATTTCTATTGTGTTTTGCCTTATGAATATTAATGAGTTTTATAACTATAAATATCAGGCTGCCTTTTTCCATTTTATATTAATTAGCATTAAATTATACTGAAAATTATATCAAAAAGTTGTCAAGCATCATGTGTGTACTATGATTGAAAGCTCATCAATTACTGTATACAGTATCTGGATAATATAGACGAGTGTTTTGGACCTTCCTGGCATGGAATCTGCATAGCACAGAACTGGTTTGTTTTCATTTTTGTTAGTTTGTAATTTTCAGTTTCATGGGCAAACTGTAGACAGTTTGGAAAGTACCATGTCAGATCCCTTTGTTTTTTGTAGTAGTTTAAAGACACAAGGAAAACAACACTAACCTCTTCTTGACGAGCACTAGAAGTTGAAGCTGATGGTTGATTGCTCTATAAATAATTAAAAAAAGATAAAAACATTTGTAGACCTCAAAAATATTATACTGCATGTATTGCAATATGTAACTGTACCTCTATGGTTCTTAATGCAATGGCTTCATGTTGCTGCTGTTGTTGTTGTTGTTGTTGTTGCTGCCGTTGTTGCTGCTGCAGTTGCTGCTGTTGATACTGCATCTGTAATCTCGGGTCTTGCCATGTTGTTGTTCTTGACTCATGATGAATGAAATAACTTGAATAAAAATAAAGCACAAATCAAAAACAAACTTTGGGGATCAAATAGCATCTCAATATCATATGCATCATCAAATTTTTCTGGGCAAATTTTTTTCCAGAGACTTCTTTGATTCTTATATTTTTCGATATCTCGTATTTCTATGAACAATATCATTTCAAATAGCGAGGAAAGCAACTATTATTTTACATGTAATATTGACGTAATGGACCATATCACGAACACTTCTTCATTTCGATTCCTGACGTAAACAAACATCTCACATACGCACAAAACTAAGAATTGTCAATTTATAATTAACTAAAATACCAAACAGATTCTAATTCTTACTATCTTCCAACTCTAGCGTCATATTTAGCTTCCCATCCTGGCGGTAAAGGGACATTTTGCTGCCAAGGTTGAGCTTGTTGCCACTGGTGCGCCATTTTGTTTTCAGCTGTTATGCCCACTCCTTCTCGTTCGAAGGAGTGCCATGTACGTCTGGTTTGAGGGAGGGGAGGGTAAGGCAGATATGATCGTAATTTTACTCTGTTTTAATTACTTTTCCACTTAATCAATTACTGTAATACAAATAACAAAATAAAACTAACAAATAAAATAAAAACCTTTAAATAAGCTAAGTTTATAGAAAAGTTCATTTATTTCTGTTGTTACATGTTTTATTTTTACTACAGAGTACAATATTTATATACAGAGAATACCTATATTATCTACTCTGAAACACTATATATACTGCCAAGAATAAGTTAGTTCATTTGCACATATCAGAGTTTGTGACGAATGGACGTATAGGTTAAAAATTTCTGATGCACCTATATGTAACATAGGCCGCCCAACTATTGCTTGAGAGAAGGAAAAGAATGAATACGCACGCTTTTATAACGCTAGCCTGTTATCGGCGTGCGCTCTTAGCAAATGAAATGCAGGTTACCTGTGGTATTATGTCATGCTTTTTGATCCCGCAGAATCAAAACCCAGTCTGTCACAGACTAGTTTTTGATCCCGCGAGGCAAGGGGATCATTGAGGTAATACCACAGCTAACCCGCAGTTTGCTAAGAGCGTGCATGCCAATAATAATACTAGTGCGTGAGAGAGTGCAAATTCGTTCTTTTCTGCCTCTCAAGCAATAGTTGGGCGGCCTATGGTTGTAATAGTATCTTTTAGAGCAACAGCATGCTCATCTGATAGCCGTTCTTTGCTGTTTTTGTTGTCTATTTCATGATACTAATCATTATCACGTTGGATGGTTATGTCATTGACATATCAACAAAGTTGTAAAACTGGTCAATTTCTTGTATGGCTTTTTCTGCACTTGGTGATATATAGACAGTGTTTTCACTAGTATCAATAGCTTGACGACAGCTTTGAACACAGTCACTACCATTGATCTCTAAACCAACAAGGGCGCCTGGGAAATAAAATAACAAGTATATAATATAAGTTAAGTGAAGTTTACTATGACCATGATAACTGTATTAACCTTGGTTAGCTGCTTCACAACAGTCTGATGAACCAATAACTCGTGATATTTCATCAGCCCTCATGCTAATTTCTTTGGTCTGCACCACAACACATCCCTACAACAAGAAAATCAGTTTAAATTGTACAAATCAGAAGTAACTTATTCACGACTTTCCATACTTAGGTTCAGTAACCACCAACAAAGCATAAAAGAGTGAGCGTAAAAGAAATGATCTGTGATCAGTGTTCCTTAATGCCTCGGTCCAATGAGTGGTCACTCAGCCCGAATATGGAAAGTCGTGAATAGTTAGATCACTTTTAAGACAATCCAAGTATTATAATCTACCTTTTCCTTTATGCTAGACAAGAAACTTTTGATGCTTTCTCTTTGTTGTGGACTTTGAAAAAATATCACTAAACACACCTGAAAAATACAGTAAAAGACAATTAAAGATAATCAAATATGTTAAGTAACAATATGGATGACCCAGAGTAATATCAGTTTCACTGCATACTGAACATAAAAAACTAATCCAATATGACCAATAAATACTAATAATTAATTAGTAAATCCATGCTGTTGCTAGCATACTTGATCAAAAGGTTTCCGTCTAGTTCCTAGAGTTAATGGTACTGAACTCTTGTCTCTTGAACACGATGCTTGCAGATTGTTGTATGGTTCAATTGTAGGTACTGGTACAAAATCCTCTACTTGTACATCCTAAAATAAGATAAACATCTCTTGCTTGGTGTAATTAAGCATTGGGAGCTTATCCAAACACTCCAGACACAACACATTTAATAGCAGTGCAGCTGGCTTGATGAAAGTTATAATATTTACCTCTGGTAATAAAGACCATGTAGTTTCTCCTGCAGCAGGAGTGAAATCATGAATATTACTCCAGTTGTTGTTGTACACACTTATGCTTGCTGCCTTGAATTGTTCTAAAAATAAAATATATATATTTCAGTATTATCATAATGTTATCAATACATGTAGACGCTTTCAGGTACTTATAACATTAAATCATTTGCATTGAAGCACTGGTGCCCTATTATATCAGGAATAATATTACGGTGGAAGTGTGAAGTGATGCTAGCGAGACACTTTTAAAAAACTAGATATTTTTTGCACATAAATTCACACTTACTGGTATACACATCGTGGCAACCGAAACATATCAAACTGGTTGTGGCACAGGGAGCCCAAAAGCACTATTTTAATATATGTCATACTTTACCTTCCAATTCTGGATAATAAAACTGAAAGCAGCCAAACTTCATTCCTGATGATGATTCGATTATGGGTTGTGTTGCACAACACAGGAAAATCTCCATTTTCTTACAGTCACGAGTTCTGTTGAATATCGAGAAAAATGTCAAATATAATGAGCTATTTTTCACGGCAATTACTGTACTAAATACCTGAATTGCTGACATGCTACTACAACTTTACAGTCTTTACAGTCTCTGAAATATACACTGAAACAAAAAAGAAGTGGTCATCATCAATGGTTGGTACCTTCGCCCATTGACAATATTCAGACATCAGCCCATTATTTTTCCAAGCCATTTATACTTGAACAACAGGCTCTCACACACACCAATTACCACTTCCTGGACAAAGCAAGATCTGGTATATGCTTTACCTTCCTTTGATTGGTCCCAGGAAAAAACTGCAGCCAGTACAGTCATCTACTGTGATGGTTGCTGAATGATCAAATAAATAAATATTGGAATCCTGTCAAAAGAATAACAACCAATTAGCTCTGGGGACTGTTGGTTGGGGGTATCTTGGGGGAGGGGAGARAGGGGATAGAAAGATGGGATAATGTTCACTTTAATAAAGAAGATTATAATATTGCTCTTCTACATGATTATCGTATATATAGATATCTGGAGAAATCTGACAGTCCAACCAAGTAAAAAGAACAAAAGAAAATGTTGAACATACTGACCAGTACTAAATGGTAGTTGCAATTTCAGTACGAAAAATTCTGAATAAAAATTCGAAAACATTAAAATCATTTCCGAAAACGAAAAGGTATCAAAGAATATAAATTACGAAGACATAACCTAATATGCCTAAAGCAACCTCCATTAGTTCGGAGGCCTGAGCTCTTACCTGACAATCTCGAATGATAAACTGTTGGCCATTTATTTTGCCGGGCAAACGACCCGTAGTCTCGTCCTTGACATCTGCTATTGTAAAATCTTTAGGATCCGGTCGATCTTTACGATCCCTGTTGACAAGATGGAAGCACAAAGTTTAATTTTGAAGCAACAGTCAATTTCATATCACAAAGAACACTCGCCAACTAAACACTTTCGGTTCTTCTTCCTCAGGCTTTTCGGTTTCTTTCGATTCTAGACAACCCATTCCAAGTGCCCGGCCAATTAAAATACAAGGATCTTCTAAAAATTTGCCCTTAGTGTAAATTAATGCATTGAAAAAAGGAAAAAAAAGTATGAATCCGCCCTCCTTTCGTGGTAACAGCAGCCAGGCTTCCTAAACAGACGAGCGTCGTGCAGTAGACTGGGAATAGCTCATTTGCATAGTATGAAACGGAAACGGAAAGAATAAATGAACGAGTTGAAAGAAAATAAAAGAAGGAGTGGGAAATGAAAAAAAGACTCAGTAAATTACACAAAAGAGTTTAAAAAGTAGTCAGGTTTTTTAAACGCTATCAAAATAGCGCCATTCTTCACTTAAACCATCAATCAACGAACTTAGGATAGTCAAATAGTTTCAATAAGAATTTACTTTGAATGCGCAAAATCTACATTTTGTCCACCATAGCCTCTCGACAACACAAATGACAGCACAACCTCGGTAAATACGGTTTTAAACTATCATTATATATTATATAGATGATTTCCAACGCGCGCTCTGATTGGCCAAAAAAGTGTGGTTTATCGGAGTTTCTAAAATACTTAGGATACTACGCGCGCTGTGATTGGTCGAAAACCATGTTTGATTACAGTATCAAAACACGCTCGCGCGCGTCAAAAATTTCTTTTATTCTTTTAATTTTAGAAAAGAAATAAAAGACGGAATTCCGTGTTTGATACTCTGATCAAAACACTTGGGATGTAGGGAGAGCACTCGAAAAGCTGGAAACCACTCCGCTACGCGTCGTGGTTTCCTACGCTTCTCTCGTGCTCTCCCTACATCCCGCGTGTTTTGATCAGAGTATCAAACACGGAATTTCGTCTTTTATTCCTTAAATAAACCACGGCTGAGCCTTATTTATTTGTTAAATAATCAATATATCGTCAAAATGACGCACATATACTGTGGCCGTTATGCACACAAATAGGAAAAAACACTACTAAATTTATCATTAAAATCAAATTATAGCACATGTCCAGTAAGTTATCACCATCTTTATCAGTGCCGATAATCTTTTGGCTTGTCAGTTTTCATCAACATTTATCGTCATAACTGCTGCTAATACACAGTCACAGTAGGTCCATTGGATCATATCATTTTAATTATTACTAATATTATCACTATTAATATCCATGTGATTATTACTATCAGAAATACAATCGCCTACATTAATAGCATCATCAATATAGTATCATCATCAATATAATCACTGGAGATAACCGAATTAAAGCTTATTAAGTGAATCCTATATAATTAAAGATTTGAGTGAGATAAAAGAGAAAAAAACAGCGCGAGTTTGGAATCCTACCATCTGTAATTATAGTCCACTAACATAAAGATACTCGCCGCGCAATTATTGACTCCGTCACTTACAGCACAACAAATTTGTGACAATTTTTTCATTCAATTCTTCTGCAGGATGGAAAACAAATGGATGAAGTTTGCCTTTTAATTTAATCAGCTGAGTGTCAGTTTAGCAGGTGTACAGTGGTTTATAGTTAACTTACCATCGATGTTCCTCGCTCAGTCTACGAAGACACTGTATTCCTGGTAGTAGGCTGAATACGTCCTCCATTTTATCCCAACTTTTAAGCGCACAACTTAGCAACAGCAAGATGAAATAATAAATAAAATATGAACCGTTTAAAGGGACTACAATGGTTCAGTCAACTCTCAATTAAACTGTGTCATATTTTCATTCAAAGTTTATACAGTCTGATTGTCCATGACTTCAGTAGACGATCTATACCTCGCACTTATTATAGAAGAGTGAAAATGCCCGTAAACTGGACAGGACTTGTCACCATAGAAACGATATATATCATTCAAAGTGAACTTGTCAGCTGGACTAACGATGACACACACAATAAAACCAGTAACACATTTAGAAATTCAATTTCCTGCCTATACATTTAGAATATTGTAGAGTTTCTCTCTGAAATGGGAGTCGTTGAGTGGAAGAGACTGGTTACAATTACTTCTCAAAAGAAAACTCAGGCTTCAAGTGCCCAATATGGGTCCGTTTCTTCTGGGGCTGCCTCAATGCCTTCAATCGTGTCTTTTCTTATGTCTAAGATGCCCAAAAGAGTCTCAACTCTAGAAAATGCCCTGGAATATAATAGCGACAATACTTTGATATAAATGAAAGGCTTGAGACCCACTTAGTATTCAGTCATCTGCTGTGTCCCGGTGTGAATTCGAGTGCAAATCGCATTTCTTATTGAATATTTAGTTCTATATCGTGCAGGCTACACATTTGAATGCATCCTACCAAATATTCTATCTGGCGCAAAGAACTACATTTGATTCCAAACATTGATTGAAACGGAATCGATCTTCCTTATATATTTGTAGCTTTTGGCGGGAAAACAAATAAAAAATGCGGGCAAAAATAAATTTAATATCTTTGTGTATATAGTTTTAGTACAGTAAATCTGCTCCAACCAACAGTTTAACAAAATAAATTGTCGATTTAAATAAACTGTCGATTTAATTTTAGTTTGTCATTGCCTTGAAATCTATCAGCCAAAACCAAAAAATCTCAAAATCTCAAATAGCAAGATCAGTTTTGGAATATTGTATATTTTTTTCCTTTAAATCTTTCACTGGGTAATCCTTAAACGTTTTCACAATGAAACTCGGACTATATGATTTATGCTTGGCGTTTCAATAATTATAGGACCATATGGCGGTAAAAAGCGCTATAATATAGCATCAGCCAATGCATATATAGTGCGTTTTATCTCAATACACCTGCCTATTGAAATCCACAGGTAACCCACATTTTCCAGTGTGATTCGCGAACAGCTTAAAGGTAAAACGTGGTATCAAAGCATAAGATACTATTTAGCAATTTAGATGTAAATAGATAAAGATGAACAGAGTATTCATAAAATTCTCTTATTTATTTTGTAACAAAAATTTGAGTTACAATTGATTAGCTTAATAAGCCACCCCCACCCCCCTAGGCAAAGGACTGTGCCTTACTCTTAATTAAATATAAAAACAATGTTGTTCATTATCATTCTTTTGTTCTCAATTATACAACTCTAATACTCTCTAACGCTTATACAAGTAGTTCAGGAAATGGCGTCTATTTTGGCAAAACGTTTTTCATGCTAACTTGCAATCTTGGCTATTGCATTTCTAGTTTTTTTTCAAAGCTTTCTTGAATAGTGATAACTGTTCACGCCAGTCCCTTTCCTATGTAGCATAAGTAACTTTCAGTAACTTTCTTAGTACCTCTATCAGCCCAGTTTGCGAAGTACAATTTAGACGCTAATGGTCAAACATAAGAGCACTCTTGCTAAGACTTCATTCACATATGCAGCCCTAACACAGATGTACATTTCATCTTTGACTCCCACCGGCAGTAGCACTTCTCTATCTCTTTTTGAGCAAGCGTCAAAGGGAATGTCGCAAATAGCAAGCTATCTATTTATCTATGTCAAAGCATGTCTTCTTGAAAGGCGTGTTTGTTGTATTTTTGACAGTCGACCATTGTTAGCTAGTGTAAATCTTTGATCTAACTGGCTCTTTAAAGCATTCATAGTATATAATCTTAACTAGATACAAATGAAAGGCTACTATTAAAAATACAATGGATACCCAAAACTTGGCGGGAAGACCAACATGATGAAACACGTGATGATGTCTCAAAGACTCTGTGAAAAAAATCAGAAACAAGAATAAACGATCTGCAAGAAGACATGCAAATGATGACAACATTGACTATGATCATGATGATTAAACCATTACAGTCCATACCTTGATGAGCATCTTTGATAAAAACATTCTTCTTGATATTCTGAAGTTGACTTTTACTCTTTGATATATACAAAATAGGTGTGACAGGCTTAGTCATGTGCACTGGAAATACAATCTGCGACATCCTGAAAAATTACCAAAATATTGGTTAGTCTCCAGTAGTAACATTTGTAGTAGTAGTTTTGTTTACCTACCCAAGTTCAACTGGTTCAAACTGACATCCTGCTTCACAAGCATATAGACTTTTGCCATTACCTAAGTTAGCTGTGATTAGCAATTTCTCTGCATGGCCAGTGTGATCATTAATGACCACAGATACATTGATATATACATCTTTATAGAGGTGAATATGACGGAAGGTTACACTGGTGTGAAGGGAGGCAGGGTTTGCAGCAAACTCAAACAAACCAGCTGAAAACTGAAGACCTCCAAAACTTAGTGCCATTGCTTGTGCAATACCAGTGGCACCTGGAATTGAAAAACAGAAACATTAACATCTTGAACAAAGGGAACTCCTCATAATATATACCAATGAGATAACATATAAGTATCAGAAGCCTTATAATAGGAGCCTAATCAAATACTGGTATAGAATCTATACATAAACAAGTCACAATACATACCAGCTTTGATGAGTGATGAGCAGCCATTCTGTGTCAACACTTGTTTCCATGACAACATCATTCTAGAGACTGCTGCCTCAGTTCTTGGTATAGGCCATAACGATGCTGAGTGCCTGCAACAACAGATTCAGAAAATGAAGGTACTATTCTTATTCCATACTAGCAGAGTCTCCACTATATCAGAAATAATAATTTGGGAGAGAATTTAATACCGTGAAACATCTTATTTGTGTGCTTACATTGTTGGAGGCCCACCAAAGCAGTGTTCAGGAGCATGAAGAAGAGATTCAAACTCCTCCACATCCTTTGCCTTGCCATTAATATCATAATCAGGCGATGGGAAGGTTGACAGTACATAATACATAGTGGCATTTACTTCATTTCCAGGGGGGGTATCAGCATCATGTCGAGGATTCACATGAATACCAGTCTTCCAAAGCTAAAAGCATGAGAAAACACTCTAGTCTGACATGGTGAATGCCTTACAACAAATGCAGTGTTTTCAAAATAGATGGCTATTGGCAGCTGCACTTATTACTTCTCCTTATACATTCCTTGATGAATATGATGAAACATTATTGATAGCACATTATTCTACACTACTGCTGGCTTTCTTAGAGCTGCCTGCTGTCTTCAATTTAAATGAATAGACTACAAATACATGAGCATACATTTTTAGCTAATCTCAAATGTCTCAGGATTGAAGAATTATTTTCTTAACAATTTTTGCAAGTACTTACTTCATTCCATGTCTTCTTATGGGTAGAAAGGAGTCTTCCAGAATCCATCTCCAGAAGTTGTTGTAAATCCTGTGAATAACATTCATTGTAAACACACCTTGACAATTCCAACAGCAGTAATAGCACTAACCTTCTTAGACTGTTCTTCAAGAACCTTCATTTCTATGACATTGTGAGGTGACTTTGAAAGGTTGATTGATGAGTGAACTACAGCTATGTGATGATGCTCCACAGAACTACAGAAAAATCAAAGGTATTATTCATAAACACATTCTTTAGAAAATAAATTATTATATTTGCAATTCATATATATATATCCATTCATTCTGACAATCAATATCCCATTCATTCATTCATTCACTTCCCATTTTACTAATAATCCCTCATTTCTAATGCATTATCCTACAATTGTAGCTAGAGATTTACTGGACTGTATGTAAATACCTTCTGCCATTAACTGGCAATGCTTGGGGTACCTGTGGTGCTACTATAGTAACATTAACACCAGGATGTGTTTCATCAAGGTATGCAATGTTGCCTTGGTGAATATCATATTTAACTTTCTTTAATTTCAGCGACAAACTGTGAATCATTCAAATAGTGGGTATGTCAGATGGCAAGGATAATATTACCATAAAATTATCTTTGTATATGTTCAGGCAACTGACCAAGTTCCTAACAAATGGTAAGTGGTTTTATCACAATAAACCATTTTAGCGATCTCTTTTACACTGTGTTAGCCTCAAAACCATGTAATCAATTCTTTTATTCACTAACAGCCCGTGCAAATGCATGAGATCTTCGAGTATAGAAGACAATGGTAATAGTTTGACATCTCATGAGTTTTATCTATATTTCTGATGTATCTTGCACATACAACGTAAAAGAGATCATGAAACTTGACTATTATTGATTAGAAACATTGTCAAATAGTAGCAACTAATGGAAAACACACCTGCCATGATTTATTGTAGACTGAGCCCAACCTTTAGTGTCTTTTTCTTTAAAACTGATCTCAGCTGAAATAGCCTATAAATATTACAAGAAATTTTGTTGGGCTACCTGTGCATAAGCATCACAGGTAACCCATAAGATACCTACTGCATGATTGATTACTTTGATATGTTGTACCAGAAGAGAAGAGTGACTTCTATGGACATAGACTTGACTTTCTAGAATAATACAACTACCTGACTGTAGAATGAAGATAAAAACAAAAAAGATTTCAATAAAAAATCATGTTACTTATATTAATAATCTTTGATTTATTTATTTACCCATAAAAAACTCTGTACATGATGCACAATTCCATCTTGAATGTTGATAACAATTGCTTCTGCAAAGTGATGAGTAAAAAAATATAACAACCCTAATAATTAATGTAACAAATAATGATAATAATAATTGTGGATGAAGTAGACTATAAATATAAACACTGATAATGACAACGATATTTGCAGAACTTGTATACATGTATCTATGTGTGAGTAGTTTTTTTTAAAGATTGAATAATAATAATAATAATATGTGGTATTTATATAGTGCCGATATCCTCTGAGTTCAAAGGCGCTTCACRTGTATAGATCATTTCACACGGACCGCTGTTTAAGGCACAATTGGCAGCCACGTGGCTTACAAATATTAAGGATGGATACTTTTATACACAATACCACGATTAGATCATTTTATGACAACATCATATCACACAATAATTTACCTTTAGGCGCAGGACCATTGCTGACTGTTGGTTCAATGAGAGGTTTATAAGGTACCTCCATTAATGTTGTTTCCTTAAGTTGAAGAAAAGAGTCCTTCTTGACAGCAATGCCAAGATGACCATTTCCTGGACAAAGTAATTATATACAGGGTAAATGGTTGGATTATTGTGTAAAGGTTAAATGCAGAGCAAAAATTGCTTAAGTTTCTAATAGCAATTCAGTGATAAATTGAGGTATACAATAATTTACTAGTATTTTTTGCAAATCAGACAGCTTACCTACAAATGGAATATAAGGACTTTCATGACTGTGCAAAGGACTATGGGAAATAATGACATCAGCATTATCTAAATCATGATCCCACTTAGCAAGATGGTTGGCCAGGCACACTTCATCAAATGGCAGAGCTGTGAGCAAATATAATCATCATAACAAATCCATTATTATCAGATAATATTTAATTCAATTTTAGCACTTTACAAATAGCGAAATTAGGTAGCATGTTTCCAACCGTCCTCTTGTAGAGTAAACTTGTGTGAGGAAGAGATCTTGTGTATGTCTCATTTATAGAAAATATAATAATAGCCAAAAGCCAAAACAAATCCAAAGATAATCTGCTGGATATTACAGAGCCAATAAACTATAAATGCAATTTGATAGTTTATTAATACCAGAATATGATCCCCGTCTGTCTGATGGCCTGGCTTGCCGTCTATGATATGGATACAGTTTTAAGGCACTCCATATTAGGAATAATAATACTCCACCAAATACCAAAATACTTGCTTTACGTGACCTGAAAAAATGTAAGATGGTGTGGATAAGTTTAATACAATAACAAGAAACAATTTTTTTTAAGGAAACTAATAATTATTGTTGGGAAAAATCAGAGCACACAATGTCTCAATATAATTATTCACTGGCAACGTCATCATGTTTATATAGGCATAATTTAATGCTTGATAAGAGCGTGTCAGACATAAATGCACCACAAAATAAAGATAACAATTGCAGCATTTAATTACGAAACAAACTTTACTTTACACAAAAGCATGTAAAGCTAGAACAAATCAGCAAACATTAGTCAAGGGGAATTAAGCATTAAATTGAGAAGGAAGCTAGACCTGCAAATTTGAAATCAAGGCTACTGCGTTTACAAAATATACCTACCTCAAAAGCAGAGAGGAAGCAAGTCTCGTCCTCACCCATGACAATAAACTGCCAATACTACTTTTAGCCCACATAAAGTACAATAAAAACTCTCTAAAAATGTGTAAAACGCACTAGAATTGTCAGAAATCTCACCGCCATTTTGTTTGAAGTTTGAAACATCAATATTTTTGTACAGGTGGCACAAATAGAAACATAGACGCGCGCATGATACAGGGAGCCCACATCCAGGGACTTGAAGATTCGAATTTTTTTTGTCGAATCTCTAAAAAAATGCACGTTTTCTTTGCAAAAATTACAAGGTTTTGTTCTGTAAGACATAGTTTTGTTGGAAGGAAAATTTTAGGAGGCCATGGATGTATTTTTGTGTGTAGAAATCTTTCACAAGAGTTTACACATGATTTTGAAGATGACCACCCAGAAACGCAAGAAATTTTAAGAAAATTGAGGCAGAAACATCATCATTATGGAATAACTGGACACCAGAAGAAAATACAAGATGTTATGGTGATAGAACCTGACTATAAATGGGGAAGACATAGGTATTTATTCATCAGCATCATTATGCATGCCATTTCTAGCATCATTTAAGCGTGTAATATATTTGATTATGTTCTTGTAATGAATCTTTAAAACATTCCCAGCTCATAATCATAATTAAATGCTGAAAATGACAAACTCACAAGTATGTGGTATAAGTTCTAATGTTACTGTACATCAGGTTTCAGAAAGCAACAGCAAGCCATCGTTTAGAAGAAGCCTGTGGACTTGTTGAGGCAATAAGCAACTGGCAGGTCAAGTTTAAGTCCATAGAATCTGTTCGTAAAATAGACCATAAAATGTTCTTTGGGAAAGGAAAAATAGAGGAATTGACAGAGAGAATTAATCAAGCTAAAGCCAGTGATTCATTAGATGTTGTATACATTGACGTTGGAAGACTATCCGCTGGTCAATATAAAGAACTAGAAAAATTATGGGATGTGAAAGTGTTAGACCGCTTTGGTATTGTCCTTCAAATATTCAAAGAGCGAGCTAAGACTGGAGAAGCTAAAATCCAAGTTGAATTGGCAGAAATTCCTTACTTAAAGTATGTCACCTTTCATTGTATTGAAATCAATACACTAATTTAATCACACATAAATGTGGTTTAATTCATAAAGCTCATTTATGATGGACTGGGTCTTGAACTCCTTATTTACATGAGGATGACACTAAATAATCTAATTCTTATTCCTATAAAATAGGTCTCGATTAGTTGGCGATGAAACAGTTAAATATGACCAACAGCGTGGTGGCACACACTACATTGGAGGCAGTGGAGAAACACAACTTGAAAAAGAACGCAGAGTTTTATCTGAAAGAGAAATAAAAATCAAGAAAAAACTGGAGAATCTAAAGAAACATAGAAATCACATCCGACATGAAAGGCACAAGAGACATGTTCCAATTGTATCTGTTGTGGGATACACTAATGCTGGTAAGATTAGTACTCCTTCAGTCAATGTTTTACCTTTTCTTTTTCTCTCTTTCTCTCTCTCTTTGGGCTCCCTTTGGAAAGAGTGAGGGACTGGTACCAACACCGTAATCTTTTGTCTCAACACAGGAAACCCAAAGTAAGAGAAGTTACACAAAATATAATGACAGCAAAGGAGGGTAGAGTAGATCCAAACTTATGACTTTATCTCTTGTTTGGTTTTGCTCTCTACAGGAAAGACCACATTGATCAAAGCAATAACGGGTGATGCCAAAATGAAACCTGATAACAAATTGTTTGCAACACTGGATGTAACAGCACATGCTGGTAAACTTCCATCAGGATTGCATGCATTGTTCATCGACACTGTTGGGTTTGTGTCAGATCTTCCTCCAGAACTAGTGGATTCCTTCTCTGCCACACTTGAGGATGTTGTCAACTCGGTAAATAATGATATAAGTTGATATAAGCTGTGATGATCAATAAGCATATTTTACCACTATATCAAACAATAACAAAATGTATCTTATTTATTGAGAAAACAACTACACAGATAAAGAAATTCTTATATCTTGATTTAGGATCTCATTGTCCATGTACAAGACATCAGCCATCCTGACCATGAGGCTCAAAGAGAAGATGTCATGTCTATTCTTAAACAACAGCTTAAACTTAAAACACCATTGCTTGACAATATTGTAGAAGTGAATAATAAAGTTGACTTATGGTGAGTGATGGGATACCTGTGTTTATTGTATATAGGTAGCCCAATCATTTCTTGTGTTAATTTCATGCTCATTTATTATAGCTCAAAGGATTTTTTGGATGAGATAAGCATGCCAAACACTATTCAGTCTTCTGCATTACGCGGTACTGGTTTAGATGTACTGTTGAGTAAGATAGAACAGGGGATTCTACAAAGTACTGGCAGAATGATGAGGAAGGTTGTCATTCCTCCTGAAGGGCCACAGCTAAGGTAATAGTAGTGTTCAACTGTATTCTCGAAATTATATCTCATAAAAGCAATAAATTACTACTCTAGTATACTTGCAGTGCCTGCACATGTTGTTACGACTGTATCTCAGTTTAGAAAAGTTGTAGCACAACTGCAGTGTGCGACAGTGTAGCAGGCTGCATGTATTCTATTTTAGCCTGGTCTTTTTAGACGTTCTTTAGCTGTACCAAAATCTGGAAATCGCGTACGCTCAGATGTTTCTGCGCATGCCCATATGTTAGCTGAAAACATCCCACATTTATCCCACATGGTTTAATGCCTGACAGCATATTTTGTATTGTAGCTGGTTGTATCACGAAGCAACAGTACAAGCTACTGACGCCGACGAAGATGGTTTTATCACCGCTACAGTCATCATGGACGAAGCTACGAACAAAAAGTTTGAAAAGAAATTCGGAAGCATTTTAACGCCTTTTATTTTTAAAGTGTCATCGAAAGAAACTAGAAAGAAAAAGAAAAACAAGCAATAACAACGATGATAGATTAAAGAGACATAAACCCAAAAAGAACATTGATGTAGTTTCATAACTTAAAATGTAAAAAGACTAATAGATAGTCTAACTGATAGATATTAAAAAATTGTTTTCGTTATCCAACGCATTTTACGTTTCAAAAACAACTTTCATAACTTTTTCTTTTGCAAGGGCGGCAAAAGCGTCTTCATATTTTATCAGAGGGTATATAGCAATGCCATGTTTTGTAAAATCTAAATATTGCTGCCCCATATCACGAATTAGTTGTAAAGCACGAGGAAATGTAAATGGATTGGACTGCGTGCCAAATATCTTGAGTTCTTTGCTAAGAATGTCATAAGGACTGACTTTGAGTTCACTATTTTGCGGATAACAGCCAAACAAAAGGATTTTCCCACCATTTTTCATCCATTTGAGAGCTTTTTGAACAGTTGTACTAGATGACTCGCAATCGATAAATACATCGAATCCCCAATACTTGTCCTGACGCAAACCTTCATAAGCTTGATCGTCTATCGTTTCAGGGTGTGTGACGTCATAACCTAATCTTAACCCGGTCGCTAGGTGACGCCGCTTGTCTGATTGATCACACACAACCACCTTACGGTAGCCATAGAAATGGAGTATGCTTAACCAAAGGGTTCCCTTTATATTGATTCCATGTATCAGTATCTTTGCATCAGTTGTGAAAGGTTTTAATAAATCCATACCATGTAAAATACATGAAATTGGTTCGCAGAGAACAGCATGTCGAAGAGATATCTGGGGAGGTAGAGGTTGAACGTTACTTGCAGGTATGCGCGTGTACTGTGACCAGCCGCCATTACGGTATATACCAATAAATGACTGATTTCTTGTATCGCAGAACTGTGTTAAGCCCTTAGTGCATGACGGACAGGTGCTGCAGCTGACGTGTGGGTTGATGCTCACGCTGCGTAAGATAAACAAAGCATTAGCGCATGCGCAATCGTTTAATTACGAGACTTAAAGTGATCAGGTTTTGACTATTTATATCATGGAACAACATGAGGTGTGACATGACGCAAATGTGGTATTCTATGTGCAATATATAAAGACCGACGATTTTATCGTAATGCACACACACAGTGTTTTATCTTAAGCCATTATGAAAGCAAACCGCATAAAATGAATCGAAAAATCTCTCGATAATTGATGCAGCAGTACCGCTTACTTGACTCTGAATCGGCTTTTCTGGCACAATAAGCAATTGCTTTTTAATAATTATCGATGATGGAAATATTGACTAACTAATCTATTTCCATTCTAAAAAATATTGACCACTAATTGTAACAATGCATCATTGTTAGTGCTTTTGAAAGGATTTTCCGATTTGGATCTCTAATTTGATTGACGGTAACTTTTCTCAGTTATGTATAATCAAGAATTGTGTTTTGAGTCTATTTTCACTGATCATAATTCACCGGTAAGCCCTTGATACACTGAACTTTGCCAGCTATCAGGCTAGGGAATCCCCATAGAACACCTATGTTTGGATTTGATATTACTTGCTGATACACAATCCACGCTGCGGTAGTATTACGATAATCGACTTTATGGAAACATATTTATCACGAACATGACCACGCCCAACACATCATCAAAATCCATTCTATATTTTGAACAAAGTAGAGTTAAATATGACAGTACTAACAAATGAAAACACCTTGAGCAGATATGTTGTTTTGAATTGTTATTATTAGAAGGAGAAGAGATCGACGCGTCAAGTGAATCACTAATCGTCAACACGCGTCCCTTGGGTGCACCTGTTCTCGCGGCCAACCATGCGCTTACACATATTCAAATATAATACAGTTTTTAATAACAACCCGTCGAAATACAGCATCTACACTTTACTGTTTCTCTAGAATATTAATTGGTTTCCACCGTGTCTATAGTTAAAAAGCGATCAATTATGTACGGGATTTGGTGTAGTCAATCTCGACCAAAGATCACTGAAAAACAGACATGCAAATAATACCGATCTTGCATTTCATAGTAGACAAAAATACGAAAAATAAATATTAGCTCTCGTTTTTATTTGAGACTCCTGTCAGACTTAAAAGAGTGAAAGCATTTTGACAACCTAGTCGCTTGAGGCTTGCGCATACAAAAATAGACATAAATATTTTGCTAAGTCGGACTTACACGGGATGAGATTTGATATTTTTTTTGTTTATGGATTTTTACTCACCGATCGCCGATAGAAACATTTTTAACTTCAGCACCAACTTCACTTACAACCCCAGCGAATTCGTGACCCGGCACAACACATCGCGAAACAGGGAAATCTCCATCGAGAATCCTTCGATCAATCTCACATATTCCCGAGAATGCTATCTTGACAATGACCTCTGAAGGTGAAGATACATGGGGAACTGGTCGAGTTATGATAGAAAGGTTGCCATCCCAGAGCTGTAGAGAATTATTCATGTCAAGAAATATACTAGAGTCTTGATCGGAATGAATGAAATCGAATAAAATGGTCTATTTTTATACCGGAATGTGACATATCGTAGTTCGAGAGGGACTGGGGCAAAGTTCCATTCGTAATTTAATAACCGGAAATTCGATTCATAAAAATTAAGAAATTTTATTTTATATTGCGCAGCAACAGAAAGTTTTCAATTTTATTACTTACTTGAGTATAATATACTTTAAACCGATGAATCGTCATACTATTTAACTTAAAAAATCGCAATTTCTGAATTCTAAGTGAAATTTATTATTAGAATTATATCTTAATCTGATTATCTTTCAAATTAGTTCAACTTGATAGCTATACATAATAGCTACGTATCTTTGTGAATATGCAACAACGAATAGAGTAGAATGCAAAAAAAAACCCTAGCCTCCCGTCCCCTAGGTGAAATATGATAAATGTGTTGTTGTGTAATAATCTATGACGGTCACGTGAGACATAGGAGTCCAATGTCCAGAGCAGTTCAGTTCCCTTCGTGTCGAAGTTTATGGACGAAAGTGCACTGATCTAAAACATATCGATTATGGAGGCCGAGCCAACATTATGGGAAAAGTTCTTAGCTCAAGTAGAGCCTCATTTACCAGAATATTTGCACTGGAATGAAATATGTGTAAGTTGCTTGCTGACAAGAGTAGATTTGTGTTTTCTTTCATTTTAACTAAACTGTATCTTGTTGTTTAGTGGACGTTCGTCTCGTACTTGGCTGAAGTACGCCGTTATATCCATCGAAAAACAAGAGGAATGGAGGCCTGGGAGGTTAGTCGTGTGATTTGTTTGTTTTAATTTATGAACGTGCCACTGATATAAAGAATACGATTAATAGTTGACTTCATGCATTTGTTCAACAAATCATTCTACTGTTGATCATTATAATTTAATACACACGCAGTTTAAATCAATTAACGTTCTACAATATATATGATATAAGCTTGTGTAGTATATGAATTATATGATCCAATTGTTCTTTATAGTAGTATGAACTATGACATAACATCTCGGGATGACCCCCCCTGAATATATATCTCAGACTGAGTATAGATCACCATTAACATATATTAAGTTAATTCTATCAACATTTCAAAATGTATCGAGCAAAATCAATAATTTTAGAAATTGTGAAGGAAATGTATGCAAACACAGGAAACCCAAAGCTACTTTGTTCATATTTGTTCAAAGAATTTGTTCATAAAGAAAACATATTCTATCCTGTCTTACAGATAGTAGTGAATACAGCAACTATATGCTTCTATGTATGGATCACTTTTGAAATCTTACGATGGCTTATTAGCTGGATATTCTTTCAAGATGAAAGTAAGTATTATGAACAATAAGTAATTTATGATTATAATTGTATGATTTATTTGTGTTGTTTTTGTTTAACCAGGTTTTATCTCAAGAGTGAAAAAGACATTTTTTAGGACACTCCGTAGACTTCCCATAATCAAAGATAAGGTAATGTATTTTTACATCTGATATTAATACAAGATTGATAGCAATTGATAACCATTACTTGTAAACTTGTTCTGATATATTTTTCATAATATATGATGGTTTTATAGATCAATGAAAAAATGCAAGAAACCTTAGACGACATGGAACAAATGGCTTTTCCTTTACATGAGGGACAAACATACAGGCTTAAGGTATGATAGCACGCATTCAAAGTTTGGATTGTCTCAAAAGAATCTGAGTTTTATTACAATCTTTTCTTTACTTTTCAGCTTCCAAGCAAAGGCCTCAAGGAGGTAATTATGCATATTTCATTTGTGTGAGTGTGTTAATGCAACCATTATAACCTCAAAATGATAGTGAATTTTGTCTTTGTTTTCAAGGCTGAACTCTCTAAAGAGATAGACAAGTATGGTGAAATGGGTAAGAAAACAAGGTTAAGCTTGTTTTTTTTATTAATCAGTAGGTTTATGGCTGTATTTTTGTTCTTTAATTGATATTTAATGGATGATTGTAGTTGAGATTGACTGGGAAGCTGGACAAGTGTCTGGTACAGTTTACTCTGGGGGAAAAGAACTAACAGACATCCTCACAAAGGTTTGTTGAATATAAGACATCAAAATCTGCTGGGTTTGTTGTGTCTATATATCCATCAAGAGGTGACATTTGTGACAAGAGACTTTCCATCAGTTTTAACATACTTTAATGTTGTAGGTTTATGCCAAATTTGCCTGGACAAACCCTCTTCATGCTGATATTTTTCCGGATGGTATGTTTGGTGAAAATAATTATCTTTATAATGTATTCCTTATTGATGGATGACATTAATGAATGGAGGGATAATTGGATGAATGAAATGAATATACAATAGTTTCAGGATAAGCATTATAGAATACTCATTACTGTTATGAAATGATATACAAATATTTTTCAGTTAGAAAAATGGAAGCAGAAGTCGTCAGAATGACAATTTCCTTGTTCAATGGTGGTGAAGAAGCATGTGGAACTGTAGGTTACAGTACTTAAACCTTAGAAAATAGTCATGTACATCTTGTTAAACAGGTTTGATCTTTTATCAGATGACATTGGGAGGTACAGAAAGTATTCTTTTAGCCTGCAAAGCATATAGAGATTGGGCATATGAGAGAGGAATCAAAAAACCTGAAATGTGAGTAACTATGCAAACAGTGTTGATACTTATGATTATATCATTAATGAACACAAATATTAAAGTTCTTTAAACAATTAATTATTGTAGAGTTGCTCCAAACACTATCCATGCAGCTTTTGATAAGGTTAGTTTTTTCCTTATGTAATCGCTGTATTATTCATCCATTTTGTATTCTCCATTCATGCATTTATCCATGCATCAATTATTATCAACTATATAAGTTTGGAGTTTAATATACAGTATTGGTTTATTGATTCCAGGCAGCTCATTACTTTGGTTTCAAGCTTGTCCATGTAGCTGTCAACCCTAAGACATATACTTGTGATTTGAAGGTACTTTTAGCATTTTCAATGGTTTATTATTTTAGTGATCATATTTTTTATAATGATAACAACTTCTTTGTTGTTTTAGGCTTTGAAGAGAGCAATTACAAGTAGAACTATTGCTGTAAGTCATTAAATAACATTGCAACTTATATCTTGATGTTTTTGGGTTAACCTAGTAATGATTTTATTTCAGATTGCTGGATCAGCCCCTCACTTTCCTCATGGCATAGTTGACCCAATAGAAGACATGGCAAAGGTGTTTAATAGTATTATTATTATTATGTAATCATGATATAAATAATTAATGCATGTTTCCTCATCATTTTTCAATTAAATTTATTGATATGCATTTTAACATCCAATAAAATTATCTGTATAGCTTGCTAAAAGATACAACATAGGGATGCATGTTGATGCCTGCTTGGGTGGATTTCTTATCCCATTTATGGCCAAAGCTGGGTAGGTATACATGTACTAATTAAATATTTTTCAATGAGGCTTTTACTAACTTGAACTCTTTCCTTCAGGTATCATCTTCCTCCATTTGACTTCAAAGTTGATGGCGTGACAAGTATATCTTGTGATACCCATAAGGTAATTCATTTTTATTTCCCTTGAAAAACAGGGTAGGAATTGTAAGCAAGGAAAGCCTGCTTGTTTGTTGCTTTACATGTAGTCATTAAAGACATTTTTTAAATTTTTCTTTTGATTTAGTATGGCTATGCACCCAAGGGTTCATCCGTAATAATGTACCATAGCAAACATTTAAGGCAATTCCAGGTAGGCAATACATTTTAGTATGATATTATTTCTAAGAGTTTCTTTATTACTTATTATTTGTTTTTCATTGATAGTTTTTTGTAGCTCCTGACTGGCCAGGTGGTATCTATGCCTGCCCTACCATACCTGGTAGCCGACCTGGTGGTATAATGGCAGCAACGTGGGCTGCTATGATGCATTTTGGAGAGTCAGGTATATTAGTCTTCATATCTACTGCTCATAAGTCATTGTTCCATGTGTATTCGTTGTTTGAATAATTTTATTAATGTCTGTTCCTTGGGCAGGCTTTAGCAGAATAATAGTCCCAGGAATGAAATCTTCCAATTTTTAACCTTGACTTGCTAATAATTACACTATAGTTATCTATGATCAATTATTTTGTTGCTAGGTTATGTCGAATGTACAAAGAAAATTATCCAGACAAGAGAAAAGATTCAGAAAGGGTACAGCACTGTTTAATGTCATCTTTTTTTAAAATGTGAATTTAATGTAATCATTCATTTAACTCCATAATTTCAGAATTGAAACCACAAAAGGTCTATATGTTCTGGGTGATCCTAAAGTCAGTATTGTTGCTTTTGGATCTCATGACTTCAATATCTATTGTCTTGGTACTTCGCTAACTGAACGTGGATGGTGCTTAAATTGTCTACAGAATCCTGCAGCGTAAGTTAATGTGAATACTTTTTATTCTTGTTATTTCATCTAAGAGTCATATTGTTCTTTTATCTTTTTATAGTATCCACTATTGTATTACATTGCTAACAACCCAGCAAGGAGTGGCAGATAGGTTTATTAAGGATATTAAAGAGTGTACAGCCAAGTTGTTGAATGATCCTAATGCTAAGACCACTGGCATGGTAATCATGGTATTGTTAACCTGAATTAATTTTGACAGTCTTTTCATGGCTGTTGTTTATTCCATAGGGAGCAATTTATGGTATGGCTCAAAGTATTCCAGATCGTTCTATGGTGTCAGAATTAGCTTGTGGTTTCCTGGACTGTATGTACAACACCAAAGACCCTAAACCAGCTCAGAATGGAACCAAATAGACCAAAGTAACTGTGGAAAGGAATTTTTACCTGGATGGGTGTGGCTAGACATGAGGCTGAAGGGTGTGGCCTAAACATGTGATTGTGAATTCTATGGCTTTAGTGAAATGGCAGCATAAGGGATAACTCATGGAATAGCAATTGTATTTCTATCAATATTGTGGCTTTCTACTTGTTATATATCTAAAGTGAAAACGGCTGAATTTTTAAAAATAAATGCAAATTATAGTACAATATTATGATGAATTGATGCTAGTTTTGCTAAGATCCTCTAAGAACTTCATATTTAGTAAATAAATAAATTATCTGCAATGAAGAATCATTATGCAATGTTAAGATGAATAATCAGTTTATGACCTCACATTATAATCCCCCCCCCCTTATAACCACAATGTAACATGATAGTCAGTGTCCCACTCTATTATTCAAACATACTTTTTTAACAAAATTAAAGTAAAACATTTTGTATTCGCAGTTTCTAATATATTTTTATTGCCTTTCCCTCCTTTTACTTGTTGTGACTAACACGTGAGGCAATCCCTTCGGTGAAATCTGATCTGTTTTTACGGGCTTCCTGTGTCAAATCAAACAAAATGGACACTGCATTGCGTAGTGCAAGTGCTGGAGTATTGGAGTGTAAAACATGCCGTTCAAGGTAGATTTTACAAACAAAACTCGATTAATGTCTTGCTTTGGATGATTAGATATTAGGATGTTGCATATTAGCATAAATTAAGTAAGGAAAGATGACATTAATTGTGACTGCTCGTGACTGGCTTGCATGTCTTGCATCGATGGCTTAAGTCCGGACTAAAGTGATTTGTTCTCCTCGCTTAACTCTTTCGTAGTATAAATGATTGCTTTGACGAAGCAGATCAAAGATTAATTAAGGAGTTTCAAACAGTCAACGGAAGTGATGCACTTTGAGCATAAAATGCACATAAACAAACTTAAGTTATTAAGTGATGCACATTGAGCTTAATTTCGTTTTGTATTATGTATCCAATAAACTTACAAGTTATGTGTGATCACAGCTTCTGGGATGACATTTAGGATTATCTGAAAAAAATTCACATAACGGTCTGTTATGACTCGCAAAAACGGGACAAGAATTCGTGTTAGTCTCTTGCCTGACCCAGAAAGAATGAGCCTGGCTGTAAATAGGTCTAACAGACGTCTAACCGGGATCTCAATAATGATGTAACTAGCAATGTTTTAATTAAACCATTAGGCTTATTGCAGAGAACGGACCATTATCCAGTGGTTTATACAAAGGTATCTGCAAGACATGCCTCAACCCTGTACAGTTTTGGTCCTTAGTGGACCCTGTACATGAAGTTAACTTTGAAATAAATGGTGTGAAACATAAAGTTATAAATCCTGACCCTGGAATGAGTTTAAACGAGTGGATAAGAAATCAGCCACAGCTTAAAGGTAATGTATTGCATATCTTGTCTGTTCATAGTTTTCTAATTTTAACCCGGGGGGGGTACTCCCCCGAAACTTGGGTGGGGGTGTGCCGCTGGGACCTCAAAACCCTGACCCTGTTCCAGAGTGAAATCGCTGATAACTATACCCTGTTCCAGAGTAAAATCGATGAAAACGATACTCTGTTCCAGAGTAAAATCCTGCACTAGCTTGCGTGTAGACCGAATTTTTACCCCATGAATTTTTATCCAGCATCAATAGTTCCGGAATTCAACCCTGACCCTGTTCCAAAGAAAATTCGTTGAAATCGATACCCTGTTCCAGAGTAAAATCGCTAAAAAYGATACCCAGTTCCAGAGTAAAATCGCTGAAAACGATACCCTAGCTGGCGGCACGTCCCCGTATAGCGAATATAGGGGAGTACCCCCCCCGGGAATTTTAATTCTTTCACCTTTTTTACATCCACTTTCACATTCAGACTTTTGTTGTGATTCAGGTACAAAGGTCATGTGTCGTGAAGGAGGATGTGGAAGCTGTACAGTGGTTGTTACAAGAACTGATCCAAAGTTAAAGCAGGCAACTACAATGTCAATTAATTCTGTAAGTTGAATACTTTAATAGATCCACAGTCTGACTATAGACTGTAATTAACAGTTTACTCTGTGTCTGGCTAACAGACGTCTGTCAGACAGAAAGTGTGAAGGATTGACATTTGACAGAGTGCAGAAAGGCTTTGTAAATGTATTTTGATAGTGAAATTTATTTACCAGTGTTTATTCCCACTTTGTGGAGCTGATGGCATCTCCGTAACAACAGTGGAAGGAATTGGAAGGTAACAGGGGGCACTCTACTTACATGTAAGATGGACCATTTAAAGAGTATCTTATTGCTTATTACAAATTCTGTTATTCACCAGTTTAATTTCTGGTCTAGTAAGGGTTAGGTTTCATATAATGCTATCATTTTTTAGCAAAGACAAAGGTTTTCATCCAGTTCAAGAACGACTTGCTGAACATAATGGTAGCCAGTGTGGATATTGTTCACCTGGTATGGTGATGAATATGTATGGGTAAGAAGTATGACTACATCCCATATGTATTGTGTGGAAACAGTTTAACAGGCAGCATTGCATTTTAATTCAATTGCTAATCCTGCATTTCATAGATGATCACGCGACCAGTTATCATGGCTGATGTGAGTTTACAATACTTACTTATTGTTTTTACCAGGTTATTGAAGACTAATCCAACCCCAAGTAGGCAAGATATTGAAGACCATTTTGATGGTAACATTTGCCGTTGTACAGGTAATGCTAACTCTAATTTAGACATCAGCTTTACCTAAATTGCACAATTTGGAGATCTGATGACATGGCTGTTGTCACAAAAGTGAAATACAGTACTGTATTGACATATTTATTGTTTCTGATGTATACCAATGTCTCAAGTTAATGCGTTCGAATGTTTCAGGTTACCGCCCTATACTGGATGCTATGAAGACCTTTGCTAAAGATTCTAGTCCCATTGAGATAGAGGTCAGTCAAACAATGGTTTAATTAAAAGTAGCCTGAATAAATCTCGAGGAGACAGCTGGACTATGCAGACTATAATGCTTTGCATCCCTCGACTGTACAAGCTAGAAATTAAGGATGTTAACTCTGAGAAGAGTGCATGATTCTATGTTATATGCTTTCATACAGGAAATAGTCAGCAGTAAGTGTGGAAGGCAGTGTAATGGATCAGGATGTGCTAAGATATGTCATAAAGAAGTGAAGGAAACAGATAGCCTTTGGTTCAACCCAGTCGCCCTACAAGACATGTACACATTGCTTGCTAAGTACTCTGACAAGAGAACAAGGATTGTTGGTGGAAATACTGGCAAAGGTACTCCATTCATTATATTTTACTATTCAATAATTGTCTTTGTTGATTAAGTGATTATTTGTTCCCAGTGGTTTTGTCATGCATCCAAGAGAGTGTTGCATGTTTGGGCTTCACCTCAAATGCCTGTGTAGAAATCTAGTTTAAGTTTCTGCTGATCTGTTATAGGTATTTATGACGATGGTAGTTTTGATGTTTTTATTGATGTCAATCAAATTCCTGAAATAAAGACTGTTGAGGTAAGAGCACAATATTATTAATAATATTGTAAAATAATAGTTATCACAGATGTCTTTCTTGTGAAATAGTTGGCTTTAGATGGTCTTTCAGTTGGTGGTGCTGTAACTTTGAGTTCACTGATTGATGCTTTAGATGGGAACGAGCCTACACACAAACTGTACAGTGTACTAGCAAAACATGTGCGCAAGGTAAATTATTGAGCAATTCATTGAGCAATAAATAGTTCCTTATTTGACCAAAGATAACAATTGTCTCATTTGTTTTTAGGTTGCAAATGTACAAGTTAGAAATGTATGTACACCTGAGTGTTTTATAATAATTGATACAGATGTTGTTATTTCCAACCTTTTATTATAATTATTTCCCTTCTACTGTAGGTTGCTACTGTTGCTGGCAATCTAATGCTGACTCATGACCATCCAGACTTTCCATCTGACATCTTTACCATCCTTGAAACAGTTGGAAGTACCGTCAGAGTTGGTAAGCTTAAATTTACAGATTGTTTTGGTTTCTAAATTGCTAATTACAATCACCAATTTGTAATTGACTGCAGTGCATTGTCCACTTGCTATGAATAACAGTAAATACATTTTATTCATTTCTTTGGTTTATCAGTTGATGCAAAAACTGGAAAACCTTATGAGTATAGCCTCATGAATTTCTTGGATCTTGACATGACAGCAAAGGTATCAACACCATGCATAAGAAAAACTTTTTAAATCACGTTGTAATTGGTAGTTACTAAATATAGTTATAAATTATTTAATAGGTCATTCTTTCAGTATTGATCCCCAAGCATCCTGAGTCTGTTAATGTGCACACATTTAAAGTTATGCCAAGAGCTCAAGTAAGTCAATTCTTTGATAATTAGCTCATCACTTTGATTGACAAGCGCTCATTTGAATGATAAGCCAGCATATACTTACATAGCTAATCATTGATTGATTTGTAGAATGCTCATGCGTATGTCAATGCTGGTTTTGCTGTCAATTTCGATTCCTCTATAATGACAGGATCTTCATATCGTATTGTGTATGGAGGAATAGGGCCATATGCAGTAAGTACTAAACTTCACTATTTCAAGATGGTTTAAAATACATTAAGATCTTTTATATAACTTCAGATGCATGCTTCCAAGACTGAGATGTATCTAAAAGGCAAGCAACTGACAGAAATCAATACTTTACAAGGTACTAATGAGTTACCATATTTGCACAGTTTCCGTAGTCAGAGCATTTTGTTGTACAATTACATTGTTTCAATAGTTACAAAAGGTACTTCTTTTTAAAGGAGCACTAGAAATACTAGATCAAGAGCTTGTCCCAGACACCCCCAAAGTAAGTGCTACCGTGGCTTACAGAAAGAGCCTTGGACTGGGCTTATTTTACAAGGCAAGTCAATAAATGAAAGATAATAGATAATGATGATTATGACAGCTATAGTGCTGTATCATGGTGGTCATAGGATAACGGATTCAATATGGATGCATTTTTGTTTATAGTTTTATTTAGCTATGCTTGGTAACAAGGCTTCATCACGTGTTCAATCAGCAGCCAAGCCTTTTCTCCGTGCAGTGTCATCAGGAAAGCAAGACTTTGATACTCACCCTAACTTGTATCCACTAACACAACCAATGACGAAACTTGCTGCCAAACTACAGGTAATGCAACAAACTAATTACTTGGTGCTTAATATAAGTTTTTATTTTGAAAAGATTCCTTCTCTATTTTGCAGAGTGCTGGTGAAGCAGTGTATACAAATGACCTACCCACCCAGGGTGGGGAGCTACATGCTGCCTTTGTCCTCTCAACACAGGTAGTGAAGAAAAAGAAATAAAATAATTAACAGCTAATTCCATTATAGTTATGATATATATTCATATAATGTTGTTTTTTCAGGGAAACTGTAGAATTGATACCATTGATGCCAGTGCAGCTCTAGTAAGCCTATATAAACTGTGTTTTTTTTTAGCAATCAAATGTACTGGTGTAATATTCAGACTATCATTCTAGAATAATCTAGTGCCTTTAAGTATATTCTTTTAATAATAAATATTCTTTGTGTCTCAATATCCAAAAAAAAAAAAAGATTTATATATTTGATGTTATTCTGTTCAGAACATGCCAGGAGTTGTTGATTTCCTGACTGCAGGAAGCATCCCTTCAAAGGGGGTCAATAGCTTCAATGATGGTGAGAAAGAAGAAGTCTTTTGTAGTGGTGAAGTGCTGTATGCTGGTCAAGCTGTTGGGCTTATTATTGCAGGTAATGTTTTGAGATCATTAAATTACATCAACTTGTTGCCTGTTAACTTAGCTCTGCTCTCGTTGTATTAATTTAGACCTTGTATTTCTAAGATTCACAGTGTAATGCTGATGCTGCTGCCTTGGCTGTCAAGGTGACATACAAAAATGTCCAGTCACCAATACTTACTATCCAACAAGCAATTGCGGCCAAGTCCTTCTACCCAAACATTGCTGATCCTTTAGTTGTTGGAGATGCCAAGGGTATAAGCAATAAAAACACATTAATATTGTTTTGATTTTGGGAAATAATCAAAAATTCAACTTGATGAATGGTAATGATTTAACATTGCCATGATGACATTTACAGGTGCCATCAAAGCATCAAGTCATGTGATCAAGGGAGAAATCTCCATGGGAACCCAACATCACTTTTATATGGAGAATCAGGTGAGTGTGAAGGACAATGAGTTGTGAGGCTGACCATGTTAAATGCACCGTCTAGGTAAGTGTATATGTGATACAAAATGTATTTAGGGTAATTCCACAGTATTATGCATGTTACGGAGGGACACATTTGAAGGCAATGTCACTGACAACTCTACATTTAAGAACTTGTTCAGAATTTTAAAAYCACAATRAACTGACATGGAACAAAGACACAAATATATTATTAAATGAGAAATATAGTTGACATACAAGTACCTCAATTTAACTCTTTGTTGATTTGTTACGGAGGGGACCAAGAAAATCCAAAWATGGTGGCATGAAAACTAATATCTCATTTTTATTGAGCTTACAGGATTTGTGGACAGTTCACTAGTATAATYATTTTTGGCATTCCTCTACTATCTAAAATGTATAAACACCAAAAGTCTAAATGCTTTTGTTTGCTGGCAAGCTATGTAGAAGTATGATGTGTTAGTGTTACRGAGGGGACAGTTACGGAGGGGACAGTTATGGAAATAATTAATAAATAATAATAAATAATTAATATCATAAATGATTACTATTAAAATCTTTCTAAAATATAGAAGTTTACTTATCACTGCTGAATGTAATCTTGTAATCAATGAATAACAGTGCAGTTTGTTTAAATTGTTTGTATCAATAAATAAGTAACTGAATTAACAAACCCTTGATTAATAAAAACTAAGATAAATAATTTACATTCATTGTAATTCAATAAATAGGTTCATAGATGTTAAAACATATTAAATGTTCAAATTATATCAATTAATGTTCATGTACATAATAAATAAATGAATAAATAGGCAAAAAGTGAATAAATACTGTACAATAATAATAAGAAGTCTCAAAAGGCTTTTCTTAAAAAGAAATGGTCTTCTTAAGGCTAGTAATGCAATGGATATTTTTTTAAATAGAAGGTTAACTTGAATGATGAAGATATGCTAATCTAAATCAATTGGTTTTACTATCAACGGTGCATGAAATCTCTTATAATGTACCTGTGTCAAACTAACATAAATGAAGGTTTCAAAGTCGGGAAATTCTTTTCTTAGATGAGCAAATTCATTAATCAAATGTTGCTAATTGACCCTTTTCATGAACTGATGCACTTTGCAAACTTCACTGTGTACAGGAACAGTGAAAGGGCCATTGCCTTGAATGTGGATTGGGCCATAAAAAACACAGCTTATATGGACTCTTTCAACATCGTCTCTTCTTGGCCAGTTGAAGGTAGTAGCACTGTTAGCATGCAGGAACTTTACGTTAACAAAGTCCTCTTTTTTMAGAATAACCCGGCCATAGTAGAAGTGGTTTACATAGTCAACTGCRTAGTATGACCCAACTTCTATKYCCTGTGGTGGAACTAGGCTGACATTTTGGAAGTGAAGATCATGGATGATGGATTTTCTCACATCCKGCATGTTRTCATTCTGGACTAGGGGACAGCCAAACAAGAGTGATCTAGCATACATACACACATATACTCCACAATCATAAGTAGTGAYTTGTTGTTGGATATCATCAGAAGCATTCACATAGAACTGCCAGTCATCAGCATTGAGATTTGAATTCACTTCAAGCAGTGCTCTCCACATTTTTGATATAGCTCTCTTATGGGTGGGCTTGATGAAGTCACCAGCTGCACTGTCAAGCACTACAATACTTTGCATCTTAGGCAGGACACACAACAAGAACCAGTGAGTGCCTTTAACTTTATTGCACAATGTAAGTATGTAGTTCTGATCAAATACATTCTTCTTCAAAAAATCAGAAGCTAGCTTCTTTTCTGCAGCCTTTTCAAAAATCTCCCACTTGATAACAATGACATTCTCACTGACAGAAGCAAGAAGCTGTAAATACGAATCAATCACAAAGTTGGATAACCATTTATCCTCATCAGAWTTTGCATACTTGCCAGAGACTGCTTTCAGATCATCAGTGGTAATAAGATTTCCACCCCTGAATACAATGCCCTCTTCTAATAAAGTTGATACCACTTCTTCTTGATAATTTGGAAATGTGTAAGACACACTTTGTGATAAGTCATCCTTCAGACATTTTGGTAGCTTGTTCTCAATCTTCAGAGGAGGAACTTTCCTTGTTTTATCAGCAACAGAGGGAGGTGGATTGCTTCTGTCTTTGCTCTTCAGAGGAGGAACTTTCCTTGTTTTATCAGCAACAGAGGGAGGTGGATTGCTTCTGTCTTTGCTCTTCAGAGGAGGAACTTTCCTTGTTTTATCTGCAACAGAGGGARGTGGATTGCTTCTGTCTTTGCTCTCACTCTTAAAAGGAGTCTTACCATTTTCTTTATTTGTAAATTCTTCTTTGGAATTAGAGGGGGAGGTGGGAATACCACGAATGAGACAATGCTCTAGACAAGTATCTTGCTGTTGAAATTGAGAGTTCTTAGCCACATAAACTGTAGAGCTTGAATTTCTTTTGACAAAATGAATTGTTCGTGTTTCAGGAATAAGAACAGCAGCATCCCATCTTTCAAGAAGCTCTTCTTCTACCTCATTGATTTCTTCCATAGAGACATACAGCACTTCTACTTTCTGACACTCATTTTTAGCAACATTTGCAAACTCYTGAGCASTTTGAACAACAGCKCGATTCTGTAAGATTGTTCTCCAAACAGTGCGTTTCACAGCAGCTCCTACTCCATCGGGGGCTCCTTTTCCATGTGCTGTTTCAAAAAAATTCCAYGTTGCTTCACAGCCAAAATCATGGGGATGGTATAAGACAGATGTTAAGTTGTAGCGATTCTTGAACTGGGACCATACACCGTCAGTCCAGTAGTGCACTGTTGCCACTTTCCGGTTGAGCTTCTTGGAGASACTGTTCAAGATTTCTTTGTTGAAGGCATAGATGCTACCTTTCTCATGAGTTAAGTCATCAGAAACTACAGCATATGATATATTTCTTAGCTCATCATCTTCTTTGTRGTACACCACTGCTGTGAATAGAGTTAYCATTTCTTTAGACCAATGGGATGCCATCACCTCTCTTTGTTGTTTCAATTGGAAATTCTCGGAAAAATCTTCRTGGACTATGATTTCATCATCTTTTAAGTTCTGCTTAAGGTACTTGAGCTCTTGAAACTGACGCCTGACATTGTAAACATGTCTGCTGAATGGGGCTAGAAGACTTTCCAGGTGTTCACTTGCKTCAGCTAATGTTKATTCAACAATTAGTTTCTTCATTGCTCCATTAACTTTTTGCCATTGATAGTAGAAAATAGGACTGTCATCATCAATGCTTTCATCAAACAGATTCAGCTTAGTCACCCCACAATTACTGCAGTCTCTATCRACACATTTTATGGACTCAAGATTGCACACAGTTTGAGAAACAGCTTCTTCACTTGACAAGCACTTGTTGGTTACTTTGGATATCCCCTGAAGAAGAAGATCAAGGTTTTCATGRTAAATGCATATACAAACTTCTTGATCAATGGAGGACAGTGGAACAACATGTGGAGGTCTCAGCTCAGCAAACTTTSATTTTTCAATCTTGAGGTTACTCTCTTCTTTAAAAAGTTGATGAGCTTCGCCTATTTTGTATAAGAGCTGTCTTTTCTGACAGTGTTCTCTTTTACCATTAGGTTGTTTGACTGACATGTAATCCTTCTTGCCTGGAAACATCCTACTTATGTCATCCCTTTCATAAAACTCTTGCACCTTTTTTATATCTTCTTCTGATAGTGCATCGCTTCTTTTCTTACGTTCTTCGGTGAAGCTTAATCTCCTTCTCTTGCTACTATCGYACAAATCTATCACTGACTTTCTTTTTCTAGGTGAAAGATCTTGGACCATCTTTGCAAGARCATGAACTTTTYTTTCTGGACATCTTGGTAGATGCTTCTTAGCTCTGTTTAATGCTCTTCCTAAGACCTGAGGACTTATTTTTAATTTTGTCTTTGAAGGAGCTGTCTTTTTCTTGCTCTCTGCCTTCCTTTGTCTCTGCTTCCTCTTTCTCTCTCTTTCTTTGGCTCTCAATGCTTCAGGTGCAAATGACTTCTTCTTTAAATATTCAGATTTTTTTCTTTCCCTGTCTTTCTTCTTTGCTTCTTCATACTTATTCTTATCTTCTTTCAATCTTKCCCTGAATTTTTTTACTCTTTCTTTGCTGGATTTCATAATTTTTTCTCTGCAATGGCTGCCAGTACCTTGACAGATACGAGCATGCTCAGTGTGTAACATTCCCATAATATTTAACTACTAGTACTTAGTCCTCCAAGACTAAAAAAGATTACAAAACTGAAAAAAATCACTGGTTTTTGGTCAAGAAAACTGGTACCAATTATCTTAAAAACTCAATAATACAGAAATAAAGCTGTCTTCTAAAAATAAAACTTCATCTTTTAGGCAAATTCACTATTCTGTTCAAATTTCTGTGAAATGTCCAAACGTCCCCTCCGTAACAAAATGTCCCCTCCGTAACAAAATGTCCCCTCCGTAACAATTTTATTGCTTTAAAATGTGAATTAAATAAAACAGAGTAAATGTATGTTTATCCCTTTAGGGTTTATCATCTCTAAATACAATAGTTTACAGAGTTTTAAGTTCTTCCCATTTAGAGGTTATAAAATAGATAAACTTTTACGACTAATTTTGTTACGGATAGGACATCAATCTTCCATAAAAAAAATTTGGGGGTCTGTTTTTATTTATTTATGGGAATTTTACAATTCATAACAAAGACAATCATAAAGAGGTTTAAAACAGGCATATTAAATTGGTTGATTTTCTCTTTGGATTTCTGCAGTAGCAAAAAAAAGGATGTCCCCTCCGTAACACCAAATTGCGCAAACTGCATAATTTATGATAATTTATTACATAATTAAGCTGTACCAAAACCACACAAACATGAATTTGAAAACATTGACTATTCATGAGCACCAGGAAAACTTAAGATTGATAATTTACACAAATTAACTTTTTGGGGTGTCAGGGTTCATTTACTGTGGAATTACCCATTATCATTATTTAAGGTGTGTCTGTGCATCCCTGAAGAGGATGGATTGACAATCCATTGTGCCTCTCAATGGATGGACTTGCTTCAAAGGAGAGTCGCTTTGGTGCTTGGCATTTCTGAAAACAGGTAATAAATTGTCGTTCCATTTGATTGACTACTTAGGAAGTAATGTCTAGAACAGGTTGCCAAAATGATATATTTGACTGACAGTTGACTTTTTAATGCTTTGTATTCCATGACCAGACTGAATGTTCAAGTGAAGAGGTGTGGAGGTGCTTATGGAGGCAAAGCATCTCGAACAGTTCAAATTGCTGCTGCAGCTGCACTAGCAGCAGTTAAACTACGAAGGTAAATTGATTGACTGCCTGACAGGTCGATTAAGCCATTGACTGATTCATTAATTGCTCCCAGGCCTGTACGGTTAAGTCTTAATTTCCACACCAATATGAGGATGATTGGTAAAAGAGCGCCATTCCTTGCCACATACCAGGCATGTATTGACTTGTTACATTTTTCTGTGTCATGAATTTCATGAAACTGTTGTGTTGTTCTTTATTGATTGAAGTTATTTCAATTGAAATTATTTTCAAAATGTACAAAATGCAAACACTCCATACTCTGTTAATACTTTCTTTAGGTTGGAGTAGGTAACGATGGCCTTCTGAATGGTATTGACATGACGTACTATGCTGACTATGGCTCTTCATCCAATGACTCAGATGTTAGTGCTGCATTTTTCTGGTGTGATAATGGTAAGGGGAGGGGAGGGTGGTGCATTATTGCGGTGTGCAAAGAGAGTTAAAAGCAATAGATGTAATTTTGTGCTCTTTTTGTTGTAGCTTATCATTGTGGCAACTGGAAAATCACACCAATAGCATGCAAAACCAACCTCGCAAGTAACACTTGGGTCAGGTCACCATGTAAGTAAAAGATATATCAAAACAATGTACATGTATGAAACAAAATGAGGTTGTATGATACTTTGTGGCAGGTATTAAATGTTACTTTATTCATTTCAGCATCAATTCAAGCCATTTTCATAATGGAGACGATACTGGAGCATGTTGCCAAAGCACTTAACAAAACTCCTGAGGAAGTGCGTCAGGTCAATTTGTACAAAAAAGGGCAGGTGAGGTTACTCCTACCACTGGCACTGCATATCCACCATAAACAGCTGGCAGTATTTCACTGTTAATGTTTAGTTTAGAGTTTAATTGAATTCATCAAGCAAATATTTTTACAAACATGCTGTACAATTACATCAATCACTGTTAGAAATTCACATCATGGTTTACCTTTACAGAAAACACCATATGGGTACTCCCTTGATTATTGTAACATTGGAAATCTTTGGACAGGTTTGTTAGTTCCTATGTACAGGCATCAAGTAACACATAACTACCAAATTAGTGTGTCAAATTTCTATAAACTGATAATATGTTAATTCATCACTAGACTTGCAAGAATCATGTGATTACAGCAAGAGAAGAGAAGCCATTGATACATTTAATAAAGTAAGATTTTCATTAGTAATTGATGTATTTCCCATGAAACCTGAGTAACAAATGATTAATGCTAATAAATGAATGCTAATGACGTCAGATCATGTAGATTAGGTGGATAAGAGGCTGGTGACATAAATGATAATAATGATAGTACATTTAATGCATTTTACTGTAGGCAAACCGTTGGCGCAAGAGAGGTATCTCCCTTGTTCCTCTGCGTTGGAGCATTCAGTATGGTGGTGAAATGTTCACTTCAATGGTATCAATATACCATGGTGATGGTACTATAGCTGTCAATCATGCTGGGATAGAAGTGGGCCAAGGTATCAATACCAAGGTAATATTATTATAACGGTATTAGACTTCTTGAACATACATTATTACCTAATTCATATTATAGAGTCCATGTATTATTTTTATCTGATTTAGGTAGCTCAAGTTGCTGCACATGTTCTTGAAGTTCCCATTGACAACATTGTTATAAAAGCAACAACTAACCTCATTAGCCCCAATAGTAAGTAATGATGTTGCACTTAAGCTATAAAATTTGTAAGCAAATATTCTAATAGAAAAGTTCTGATTGTTATTCTAACTTTTAAGGTGACGCTACAGCCGGTAGTGTTGGAAGCGAGTTGGTTTGTGAAGTAAGAAAATGTAAAATAGTAAAAAATTATTTATTATTTCAATCCAGCCTACAATAAACTATAATATTACATTCATCTATGAGCACCCTTCCTTGGACCTTGTATCCTTCAGTACCATTATCAGTGTTGTCACATTCTGGGGTGACCTGCACCCCTCCCCAAAGAAAATTCTGGATCAACTAGTCCTGTCAAGTAAATAACTGACTGGACAAAAAACAACCATCCATGTTACTATCTTGGGGAGTCTACCTATACCCTCTTGACTATTAAAATGTGGTTGCTATAGTGATCAAACTGTGTTCTTTGTTCCACTAGTCTGTGGTGCTATGTTGTGAGACTTTAAAGAAACGCATAGATCCCATACGTCAAAAGTATAAACCTTCTAGTTGGCAGGCACTTATCACGAAATGTCAAGACGAAGGTGTTGACTTGTCAGCGAAAATAATGTAAGACTGTAACAAAGGGTTTTATGGGATACTGCTTGTACACCCTTTGACCTTCTACCCTCACTCTTCTTCATGTCAATAGTATCTTTCCATTCCAGATCCTATTTTAATGCTTGCCTCTTCTCAGTTTGTCATTTCTTCTCTAACATCCTCCTCTATGTACTAGTCTCTTCTCTTCCTCTTATTCACCTCTAGTAAAGTGATAAGGTAATTATAGGAATAACCACAACATACGTCAGTGTTGGTGTTTACTTAAAGGTATCAAGGAAGTACCAAGCCGTATGTGTACAGTACCTATGGAGCCACATGCACAGAAGTAGAATTAGATGTGTTGACTGGAGAGAGAGACATCATCAGAACTGACATTCTGTATGACTGTGGACAAAGGTAATACTCCAATCCACAGACTAATGGCAGTTTGCTGGCCAGTCATTAATAACAAGTGTGTGACAGACGTTGTACCAGTAGACTGTATAAGTTGCTAAACAGATATTTAAACATATTGACACATTCGTTTTTAGTATGAATCCAGAAATCGATGTGGGTCAGGTTGAAGGAGCATTTGTTATGGGACTTGGCTATTGGATGACAGAGAAAGCGATTTATGACAATGAGACTGGTGAAGAGTTGACCTACTCAACATGGGTAATTAGAACCATTATAAGAAAATAGGACTGGTTGCAGTCATCTTCATTGTGGGAGGTTGTATGAACTACAATATGATACTGATGAATAGGCATTGTGTTGYAATGTTTGTTTTTGGAGTTGATAAGAGTTAAGCTACATGATCTTTCTGTGAAAGGGTCAAGTAGGTTTTCTGTTCAAGTAAAAAGGAATTGCTGTGTGGAGTAGTATTTGTTGTTTTGCTTTACTTTTAGGTAGATTGTAATTAAATGTATTTTGCCATTTTCTGTAGGAATACAAACCTCCATGTTCCAAAGACATTCCTATTGACTTCAGAGTAAGACTGCTGAAAAATGCGCCCAATCCCAAGGGCATTCTAAGTTCCAAGGGTGTGTAGTGATCTTAATAGCTGTTTTTTATGAAACTAGTTGAAACACAATGACAGATGTTAGACCATCATGAATAATTGTACTAGCTAATTGTACTGTACATTTCATAAGATTGAATACGATCAACTAAAGATTTCATGTCTATTCTTAGCTGTTGGTGAACCTCCAATGTGCATGTCATGCTCAAGTCTCTTTGCTGTGAAACATGCTGTTCAGAGTGCACGTGGTGAAATCAATCAAGATGAAGAGTATTTTCCTTTGGGTGAGACAAGTTTTGTGAGATTAAAAATCATATTACTGTACATTGTTCAAAACAAATCATATGAAATTCCCAACCAACATTTTTGATTGAATAATTGGGATAAGAACATTAGCCATTGTTTAAAGCGGAAAGATCTCGTTTTTGTTGTTGTTGTTTTCAACCACATTAAAGTAACTCGATCTTATTAAGCTGCAATGAAAGTTATTTAATGTCTTTCATCTTATTTCTCTATAACTGATCCAAACTGAAGTAATGAAGTTATAATAGTTGAAAAACAACTACAAATCCACCTATTATTTTAATACTTAAAAGTATCCAGTGTAATATGATGACTTTGTTTTTGATTTTAGATGGACCATCAACAGTGGAAGCATCACACATGGCATGTCTTGTTAATCCCAAACAATTCACCTTGTAGACTGCAAATCATCACAATCAACTACATTCATTTATATTAATATGTAACGGCCAGGTTTTGCACACCAGTTTGTATTATGGCTTAAACATTTATGAAACCAACACACAGCATGATCATCGTGACAGAACTAATTTATTGCAAAACATGCACAAAATCACACTGACTATATAAGGAAACACACAGGCTACCCAAAATAAATAAATCAGTAATACTCAAAATATGAAATTAATGAAATTAAATTTCAAATTGTCACAATTATATAAGTAATAGTGCATATATAAATAAATATTATATAGTTTCATCTTCAGAAAGCAAAGAAATATGAGTGAGAAACTAAAAGTTTCTCCTCTTTATTTTCAATCTTAAATCAAAATTATTGACAATAACTTAATATTATTTTTTAAATTGAAATTAAATGAGCAATGTCAGACTGATATATATTCCTCAAGATCTGCATTGTCAAAACTCAAAAGAAGAATTAATGTATCAATTTAAAAAAAATGTATCAATAAAAAAAATATATACCTTATAGTGTTTTCTTTGATACATGTAATTATACTGTGAAGAGAAAGAGAATGAGAGAAGAGATACATAATATTAAAAAGTTGAGGTTTGCGTCGAATCGCTTACGTTAGGCTTTGCGACGTTATCCCATTAAACTTAGGTACCTTTTAATGAAATCCGCGTCATGATTTGGGTACTAGAGAATTACTTGTAGCTCATTCTACCCTCTAGACGACGTTATTGTGGGGATAAAAAAATGACAAAAATTTTTGATAGCGCAAAGTTAATTATAGGCAGGCGTTACTGGTAGACAACGCTAGGAGTGAGCCTGGGGCAAGTGTTTTCAAAGAGAAAAAAATATCAACCATGTTCTTTTGATTGTTCTCTGTATTTCTTCATTTTTATCTGGTATTGTAGTGTTTTTATTAGATATGGCATCAATGCAGGGCTGGCTGGGAATGTATGTTAAGGTGGACTGTAGAAATCTTGGAATATTTGAAGGAAAAGTTGCAAATATCGATGGCACCAATCAGATCATTGTTCTTGAAGAAGGTATATTTAAAAAGTCATGTTATTTAAACCTCTATTAAGCTTGAATTGACCTTTTTCTGACTCAAAAGAAACAGTAAGTGTGCTTTACGTTTTAATCTATTATACTGCCCTCGTTATTAGCCGACTAATGTGAGAATAATGTTGATTTATTCTTGTCAATTAAAACTTGTTTTCTATTTTAAAATGATTCTCTCATTGCATCCTCCTTGTACTCTAAAAGCTTATGTATATGTATCTTTCAGCTTGTATGAATGGTAAAAGTGTACACTCCAATGAAGTACAAATCTGTGCAAGTGATATTAAAAATCTTGAAATATTATCAGCCCCTCCTGAACAAGCAAAAGTCCGAAAGACATCAGGGGGGAGTGCCAGTAAGCAGTCAGGGATAAAGTCAACACCAAGCAAGGTATCATTCATTACAGTGCACACACCATGGATATTTATTTACTGAATATTAATTCAGTATCCTTCCATTTGTTTTTCACATTCTCAGTTTTTATTGCTCATGTCAAAATTTGTTTACAGGCGGAACCAAGCCCTGCAAAGCATGGGAAGTCTAAAAAGTCTAGCACTTTTCCAGGTAATTGAACAAGGTTTATTCTTTTTCTATTAAATCAGATTACAGAAATATTTACGATGTACAATGTAGTCTTGCTAAACTACTAAATGATTAGGTGACAAAAGTATAACCCCAAGAAAAAATCAAAATGCTAAAAGCAAGTCTTTAAAAGAAAAGGACAAGGTTGGTAATTCACACTATAGTAATAAATAGTAAATATACTAGCAGTGATGTAGACAACAACAACAACAACAACAACAACAACAACTCAAATGAAATCTTAACTCACAACCACTTAAATATGTGCTTCTTTTCAATTCTTTCCTTTTTTTATTGAAAATATATAGGAATGCTTTGGTCAAAGTTTGCTGGACATGATGACACCAGATTTTGACTTTGAGGTAATTAAAACATTAACTACCATTTCATATATTGGTTTTATTTTTTCATAATTAATGATCTTGTTAATAAATTGCAGAAAAATCTTGCAAATTTTGACAAGAAAGCTGTATTTGAAGAGATTGAGGTAAAGAATGAATATCACTACAATATTGATCATATCATTGGATAGATCTGGAGATACATACAATCTGTTGTAAGAAAAAAAGTAAACTTTAAATAATGTTGTTTATACCCAGAGCTCGGGTTCTGACTGTGGAGTGAGAAAAGGCTTCAAAGAATTCAACCTGAAACCCACTGAGAGTGTCCTTGAACATGAACCTGTTATACAAAGACAAAGTATGGCTGCAATATAGTAGTTAACCAATTCAAAAATGACCTCTACAAGTACATTGCTTTGTGTTTTATAGTTTGTGTGCCATCAGAGCACAGAGGCAAGGAGTTTCTATCAGACAATGGTATAGTGGTACCAGCAGTTTCAATAGAACTTAAAAATACACTCTTTGAAATGTCAGGTGAGAACCTTTTATTCATGTTTGACAACTTCTTTTTCTGATCTGGTTTTGTATATTGGGGCTCCTGTGCCCTATCCCATGCTATATTCCCCAGGGTCCCTCTTCCAATTTCTTCCAAAGGAAGCCCAATAAGATTCAACTGTAGTCAACAGGAACTATTTGTTGGCTACCATGACTTTTAGTAATTGGGGACTGAATTTGAATAATCTGTAAGCACCTACCAAGTGCCCCCGCTTCTGGCCCCTCCCCTAACTCCAAGGTGTACACTACATCAGGTCATAACCTAATTATGATTATAATTTTGTGATGACAATATGCTCTTTATTTTATAAACAAGAACAAATGGGTCTTTCACAAGAACAAAGAATAGAATGTGCTGGAATGTGTGCTTTTCAGATGGCCATGCAAGTGTTAGGTGGGTAATAGATACATTCTACAGTGCTGCAAGTGCTGCAACTGCATGTGTCAATGATTGTGATTGTGTTATATTTACAGGTGGTTCTCGTAGATTTAATAATCTGAATGATATGCCAAGTGTTGTGGTAATGGCTGGACCACACATACAGGGACTACAGGGTATATGTACTGCACGGCACTTGGCCAACAAGAAGGTATTATATACTGTTATGATTATGTTATGAAAATGTTATGATTAATTGGTATCTTTTGTTCATCAGATCAATGTTACCCTATTCATTCCACGTAAAACACAGGTAAGTTTTATTTGCTATTCTGGCCAAACCAATATAAATCATTTAGAGCTGTTACCATATCCATGGGTTAGCGTCCCACCCATAAAAAAAGATATAATGACTTAAGAATATAGGGTTCTTTGATATCCATTAAATTTGTTTTCTCTGCTGTCCCTTAAATGCCTTAAGTAATAAATGACATGGAAAGATAAAACCATTATTTTGACTGAATGCATTTTATTTGTTCTAGGAGCTCATTCCTCAGCTTGCCTTGTACATGCATACTGGAGGAAGACTGGCATCTTCTGTTAAAGGTATCAGTTTGTAATATAATCATACAAGTCATGTACATAAAGTAAATGATAATTGAAGTTTTTGTTCAAAGCTGTGGCTGAGCAGAGGGAAGGCTTTAATTTCTTTGTTTGAGTATTATGATAATAAAATACATACTCTGTTATTTCAGATTTTCCACAATTCCCAGTAGACCTTGTGATAGATGCATTATTAGACCATGAAAAGAGTAGCCCAATACTGGAACAGACGCTGAATGCAGTGGAATGGGCCAATGACAACAAAGCACCAGTCCTAGCAATTGATCCTTGTGAATTCAATGCTGTCCTAGGTATGCGCAAACACATGCTTAGGTTCCATATCCAGGGAGGTCACAGGGTGACACCCAATTATGAAAATCCTGGATATGCCTCTCTTGTCCTATTTAGTTTCTTATGTACACAGCCTTCTAGGCTAGCCATTGTTTCCTGCTAACCTACACAGCATCACTCACTGAATTCAATTGTAAATCAATCCTAAAAAGGTCTACATGTATATTGTCCACCAGGTCTAGAAGTAAAGTGGTCTTTAGCTTTAGCCCTTCCTCTGGTAAGTTTGAGGTCATTCATGATGATTGATTACTCTCTTGCATTGCTTATGTTATTATGATGATGATTGTGTTAATGATAGTAATGATGATGATGATGATTGTGTTAATGATAGTAATAATGATGATGATTGTGTTAATGATAGTTAATGATGATGATGAATCTTGTGTTAATGATAGTAATGATGATGATGATTGTGTTAATG